CGGGGGATGTCCGTGCCGTGTGGGAGCTATTTGTGCCGTGCGGGGGCTGTCCGTGCCGTGCGGGGGCTATTCTCGCCGTGCGGGGGCTGTCTGTGCCGTGCGGGGGCTATTCTCGCCGTGCGGGGGCTGTCGATGCCGTGCCAGGGCTGTCCGTGCTGTGCGGGACCTTTTCGTGTCGTGCGGGGGCTGTCCGTGCAGTGTGGGGGCTGTCCGTGCCATGTAAAGGCCGTCCGTGCCGTGTGAAGGCTGTCCGTGCCGTGCGGGGGCTGTCCGTGCCGTGTGGGAGCTATTTGTGCCGTGCGGGGGCTGTCCGTGCCGTGCGGGGCCTGTCCGTGCCGTGCGGGGGCTGTTCTCGCCGTGAGGGAGCTGTCCGTGCTGCGCGGGGGCTTTTCGTGTCGTGCGAGGGATGTCCCTGCCGTGAGGGGGCTGTCCATGCCGTGCCAGGGCTGTCCGTGCTGTGTGGGGGCTTCCCGTGCCGTGCGGGGGCTGTCCGTGCAGTGTATGGGCTGTCCGTGCAGTGTTGGGGCTGTTCGTGCCGTGTGGGGGCTATCCGTGCTGTGCGGGGGCCGTCCGTGCCGTGTGGGAGCTATTTGTGCCGTGCGGGGGCTGTCCGTGCCGTGCGGGGGCTGTTCTCGCCGTGCGGGAGCTGTCTGTGCCATGCGGTTGTCCGAGCCGTGGGGGTTTGTCCGTGCCGTATGTGGGCTGTCCGTGCCGTGTGGAAGCTATTTGTGCAGTGCGGGGGCTGTCCATGCCGTGCTTGATTGGGCTTTCTGTGCCGTGCGGGGACTGTCCGTGCCGTGTGGGGGCTGTCCATGCCGGGCGGGGACTGTCGGGGCCGGCCGAGAGCTGTTCATGCTGTGCGGGGGCTGTCCGTGCCATGCCGGGGCTGTCCATGCCGTGTGGGGCTATCCGTGCTGTGTGGGGGCTATCCGTGCTGTGCAAGGGCTGCCTGTGCCGTGCGTGGGCTGTCCGTGCAGTGTGAGAGCTATTTGTGCCGTGCGGGGGCTGTCCATGCCGTGCGAGGGCTGTTCTCGCCGTGCGGGAGCCGTCCGTGCTGCGCGGGGACTTTTCGTGTCGTGCGAGGGATGACCCTGGTGTGAGGGGGCTGTCCATGCCATGCCAGGGCTGTCAGTGCTGTGTGGGGGCTTCCCGTGCCGTGCGGGGGCTGTCCGTGCAGTGTGGGGGCTGTCCGTGCTGTGTGAAGGCCGTCCGTGCTGGGTGAAGGCTGTCCGTGCCGTGCGGGGGCTGTTCGTGCCGTGTGGGGGCTGTCCGTGCCGTGTGGGGGCTTTCCATGCCGTGTGGGGGTGTCTGTGCCGTGCGTGGGCTGTACGTGCCGTGTGGGAGCTATTTGTGCCGGGCGGGGGCTTTCTGTGCTGTGCGGGGACTGTCGGGGCCGGGAGAGAGCTGTTCGTGCTGTGCGGGGGCTGTCCATGCCGTGTGGGGACTGTCCATGCCGTGTAGGCGCCGTCCGTGCCGTGCGGGGACTGTCAGGGCCGGGCGAGAGCTGTTCGTGCCGTGCGGGGGCTGTCCATGCCGTGTGGGGGCTATCCGTGCTGTGCGGGGGCCGTCCGTGCCGTGTGGAAGCTATTTGTGCCGTGCGCGCGGGGCTGTCCATGCCATGCTTGGGCTTTCTGTGCCGTGTGGGGGCTGTCCATGCCGTGCGGGGGCTGTTCGTGCTGTGTGGGGGCTGTCTGTGCCGTGTAGATGCTGTCCGAGCCGTGGGGGGTTGTCCGTGCCGTGTGTGGGCTGTCAGTGCCGTGTGGAAGCTATTTGGGCCGTGCGGGGGCTGTCCGTGCCGTGTGGGGGCTGTCCATGCCGTGCGGGGGCTGTTCGTGCTGTGTGGGGGCTGTCTGTGCCGTGTAGATGCTGTCCGAGCCGTGGGGGGCTGTCCTTGCCGTGAAGGGGCTGTCCGTGCCGTGTGGGAGCTATTTGTGACGTGCCGGGGCCGTCCGTGCCGTGCGGGGGGGTGTCCTTGTCGTGTGGGGGCTGTCCGTGCCGTGCGGGGGCTGTTCGTGCCGTGTGGGGGCTGTCCTTTGTGCCGGGCGGGGGCTGTCCGTGCCGTGCAGGGGCTTTTCGTGCTTGGCGAGGCTGTCCGTGCCGTGTGGGGGCTGTCCATGCCGGGCAGGGACTGTCGGGGCCGGCCGAGAGCTGTTCATGCTGTGCGGGGGCTGTCCGTGCCATGCCGGGGCTGTCCATGCCGTGTGGGGGCTATCCGTGCTGTGGGGGGGCTATCCGTGCTGTGCAAGGGCTGCCTGTGCCGTGCGTGGGCTGTCCGTGCCGTGCGGGGGCTGTTCGTGCCGTGTGGGGGCTGTCCGTGCCGTGTGGGGGCTTTCCATGCCGTGTGGGGGGTGTCCGTGCCGTGTAGGGGCCGTCCGTGCCGTGTGGGAGGTGTCTGTGCTGTGCGTGGGCTGTACGTGCCGTGTGGGAGCTATTTGTGCTTGGCGAGGGCTGTCCGTGCCGTGCGGGGCTGTCAATGCCGTGCCTGGGCATTCTGTGCCGTGCGGGGGATGTCCGTGCCGTGTGGGAGCTATTTGTGCCGTGCGGGGGCTGTCCGTGCCGTGCGGGGCCTATTCTCGCCGTGCGGGGGCTGTCCGTGCCGTGCGGGGGCTATTCTCGCCGTGCGGGGGCTGTCCGTGCTTCGCGGGGCCTTTTCGTGTCGTGCGAGGGACTTCCCTGCCGTGCGGGGGCTGTCGATGCCGTGCCAGGGCTGTCCGTGCTGTGTGGGGGCTTCCCGTGCCGTGCGGGGGCTGTCCGTGCAGTGTGGGGGCTGTCCGTGCCGTGTTGGAGCTATTTGTGCCGTGCTTTGGCTTTCTGTGCTGTGCGGGGACTGTCGGGGCCGGGCGAGAGCTGTTCGTGCTGTGCGGGGGCTGTCCATGCCGTGTGGGGACTGTCTATGCTGTGTAGGCGCCGTCCGTGCCGTGCGGGGACTGTCAGGGCCGGGCGAGAGCTGTTCGTGCCGTGCGGGGGCTGTCCATGCCGTGTGGGGGCTATCCGTGCTGTGCGGGGGCCGTCCGTGCCGTGTGGAAGCTATTTGTGCCGTGCGCGCGGGGCTGTCCATGCCATGCTTGGGCTTTCCGTGCCGTGTGGGGGCTGTCCATGCCGTGCGGGGGCTGTTCGTGCTGTGTGGGGGCTGTCTGTGCCGTGTAGATGCTGTCCGAGCCGTGGGGGGTTGTCCGTGCCGTGTGTGGGCTGTCAGTGCCGTGTGGAAGCTATTTGGGCCGTGCGGGGGCTGTCCGTGCCGTGTGGGGGCTGTCCATGCCGTGCGGGGGCTGTTTGTGCTGTGTGGGGGCTGTCTGTGCCGTGTAGATGCTGTCCGAGCCGTGGGGGGCTGTCCTTGCCGTGAAGGGGCTGTCCGTGCCGTGTGGGAGCTATTTGTGACGTGCGGGGGCCGTCCGTGCCGTGCGGGGGGTGGTCCTTGTCGTGTGGGGGCTGTCCGTGCAGTGCGGGGGCTGTTCGTGCTCTGTGGGGGCTATTTGTGCCGTGCGTGGGCTGTCCGTGCTGTGTGGGGGCTTCCCGTGCCGTGCGGGGGCTGTCCGTGCAGTGTGGGGGCTGTCCGTGCCGTGCGGGGGCTGTCCATGCCGTGGGGGGGCTATCCGTGCTGTGCGGGGGCCATCCGTGCCGTGTGGAAGCTATTTGTGCCGTGCGGGGGCTGTCCATGCCGTGCGGGGACTGTCCGTGCCGTGTGGGGGCTGTCCATGCCGGGCGGGGACTGTCGGGGCCGGCCGAGAGCTGTTCATGCTGTGCAAGGGCTGCCTTTGCCGTGCATGGGCTGTCCGTGCCGTGTGGGAGCTATTTGTGCCGTGCGGGGGCTGTCCGTGCCATGCGGGGGCTGTTCTCGCCATGCGGGAGCCGTCCGTGCTGCGCGGGGGCTTTTCGTGTCGTGCGAGGGATGTCCCTGGCGTGAGGGGGCTGTGGCGTGGGGGGCGTGAGGTCCATGCCATGCCAGGGCTGTCCGTGCTGTGTGGGGGCTTCCCGTGCCGTGCGGGGGCTGTCCGTGCAGTGTGGGGGCTGTCCGTGCTGTGTGAAGGCCGTCCGTGCTGGGTGAAGGCTGTCCGTGCCGTGCGGGGGCTGTTCGTGCCGTGTGGGGGCTTTCCATGCCGTGTGGGGGGTGTCCGTGCCGTGTAGGGGCTGTCCGTGCCATGTGGGAGGTGTCTGTGCTGTGCGTGGGCTGTTCGTGCTGTGTGGGAGCTACTTGTGCCGGGCGGGGGCTGTCCGTGCCGTGCAGGGGCTTTTCGTGCTTGGCGAGGGCTGTCCGTGCCGTGCGGGGGCTGGCAATGCCGTGCGGGGGCTTTCCGTGCTGTGCGGGGACTGTCGGGGCCGGGCGAGAGCTGTTCGTGCTGTGCGGGGGCTGTCCATGCCGTATGGGGGCTATGGCTCTAGCAATTTTCAGGCGCTAGCGGGGTTACTTTTTTTATTGGGCGCCCCGAACGTCCTGAACGTAAACTCCACCCCATGTCCCGAGGGTCACGGCTCCACTTTACCCCCAACATCGCTGATTGGCCGGCAAAAACATCGCAGTAAAGTATGGGCAGTTTGTCAGAAGCTATAGAGTCAACATTTATGCCCCATAGTTAGGCCAGGCACACTGCCATGCTCGATGTGGCATTCCCATGTGTTCCTTATCCAGTTGTTAAGCTTCGACCGGCAAATACAACAGACCAGCAAAGCGTTTGCGCCTTCAAGAAGGATCGTGAAGCCTGACCGTTAAATAGTGCCCCGCAAATCTCCTTTCCGAATGCTGCAACTGGTCGGCATACTCCTTTGCGCTGCACTTCTGGTTGCCCCATTTAGCGATTTGTCTTTCGAATGGCTTATAAGAGCCGTTTGATGCGGTCAAGAGTGCCTCGCTAACCGCTTGGCTCGCAGTTTGACTAGGACAAGCCTCGATGGGCTGCTCGTCGCCGGTATTGGGAACGTTGTTTGTAGACCCAGTGCAGATTAATCGCACTTTTTGCAGATAAAAGCTTCTAGTGTGAACACTTTCTAAGTTTTACTGAAAACCTGCCTTCTATTTCTAAGTTTAGGTTCTAATGCTTTCTAATTAGGCACAAGAATCCATGAATAAGGGGGACAATGTAACAGGCAGTGCTACCAAGCAACAGACAACCTTGCAGACGGCCTGACACACCATGCTAGTTCACACAAACGCCATGAAAAATGTCTCTAGTGATGTAAAGCAAAATTGGACGATGGGGTGACAACAGGAATGACAGTCCTGATTCACCATCACCGTCACTAAGAGAGCATTAGTTCGCAAAACGTCCTATCAGGGGTTCAGACTTCTCGAGTACACGTCAGCTCTTATAGTCATAGCTAAAGCTACAAGTATAAGCGGTAATGCAAGCCCAAAACCAACGACATACGTCAAGCCTGCATCGCTACTACCCCAACGGTGTTGACCCAATATGCAACCTAAAGTACCGACACGTCAGCTATTTATGATTCTTGTGCAACCTCCTGCAACCTGATCTCTGGAACCTACTCACCAGAAATGAAGACCGAAGATAACACGCCAGTCCTCTAATGAAAGGGTGGCCGTCACAGCGGTGCCTATCCTTTACCTGGTGCCCATTCCTCTGGCATTGGCCGCTGAGCCCCTGAGCGCAGACGAACGGTACATTGGAGAGCCGGCACCGGGCGCCTTTTTCTTTTTTGGCTTCGGTGGAGGCGGTGGCGGGGGCTCCACCACCTCCTGCAGCGTCTCCGTGCGGCTAACGAGGCGCAGACGGACCTCCATAGCCAGGCTAGCACGCAAGGAAAGAGGGGCGAGGGTTTGGTGTTTATGAGTATGCCTGTCCCCACAACATTTTCGATTTAGTGCATATCTCCAGCTAATGATTTAATGCATATAGCAGCTGGTAGTTGCAGTCATCATCCCGCAAATCACTACCGTACCTCCCAGTGATCATCGCGCAAACCCAAACAAATGATTCCAACAAATGAGCATTTACGCGGAAAGTAAAAAATCGGGGCCGGCTCGTTATAAAAAACGCTTGCTACCCCCAAAAATAATGGGTTTCGCTCTTTCCTAATCCCCCCCCCCGCGCGTTATTAGAAATGTTGAAGGCCGCGGAAACAATCGCCAACGCCACCCCCCAAACAATGGGTTTCTCTCTTTCTCCAATCCAATCGTCTAAATCCGCCCGTAGCCTTTTAGCTTTTGCTTCCACCGCTCAGATCATTAATCTCGAGGCCCTTAGGATACCTTTCCTGAGGCTGCGTGAAGTAGAAATAAGTGCTTTAAAATCCAAGTATCTGTAGCATTCTGATGCCCGGTTCCACACTGTCACTCAAGCCCGGGATATCCGATGTACGTTAGTGCAACTACACTCCAAACTACACAACAAAATGTTCGCACAAGCAACCTACCTTCTCATCTCCAATTGCCGCCCGCTCGCATCCCACTCCAGCTGCTTCCGCTGGTGCGGCACTAGCTGTGGCGCCATGATCGGCAGCGGGCACCACAGCGCCGCCAGCAGCAGCCCCGGGTGCAGCTGCTGCAGACGAGCCGGTGTGGAGGCGCCCCAGTCTGTCAGGCTCGTACACGCGGGGAAGCCATCAGACACCCAATCGGAGGGCGTGAAGGGAATGTCGGGCGCGGGTGTCACGTCCACGCGGTGCCCCTTGACCACCGTGTCCCCCAGGTAAAAGTGCGCTAGCATGCCGTTAGGCAGCAGGTAGTGGCCGTACAGCTCCCCACAGAAGCGGCAGCCGTCCACGTGTTCGAAGAGGCACATGTGTTGCGCCGAGGGAAGCAGCAGGCGCGGGAAGCGGTACAGTCGGTCGGTGCCGCCGTCGCCCGTGGCGACCAAGACCTGCATGTCGGAGTGGTGGGGCATAAACAGGAATAGTAAAGAACCGGCGCGTGCGTAGGGGAAACTGTGAATGGCGGTAAACAAATGCAGCCTACGGCGGTTGGATGTGGCCTATGCCCTCTTTACTCACCGACAGAGGCTGCGGCCGGAACAGCGCGAGAGCAGGATCTGAAGCCTCCTCTTCCGCCGCATCGTCTCCTATCTCCCTCTGCTGCTTCTGCGGCTGCTGCTGTTGCTTCTCTTCGCCCTGGGATGACCGCTGTTGCCGGTGAGTTGATTGCGGCCGTGGGGATAGCTGCTGCTGCTGTTGCTGCTGTGACGACAACTGCGGCAACGCTCCCTTCGCTCCCCCTGCCCCTGATCCTCCCTTGATCCCCGGAACCGTGCCCCCGGGCGTCCCTGACGCCGCCACCCGACTGGATTCTGGTCTCGCGCCGCCCACACCCTGACTGCCGCCCGTTACTGATACACGCCCACCGCGAGGTGTGCGAACACCGCTGTTACCGGCGCTGCTGCTGGCGGCGGCTGCGGGGTTGCTCGGGGATGCCGCAGCGCCTGGGGGCGAGGCTCCACTGCCACCCTCAGCTCCGTCGTCCGCCGCACCCACCGCGGCCGCCTTCATGAGGCGGTTGGCGGCATCCGCCTCACGAGCCTGGGGCGGGGATGGGGGTTCAAGGAGCAGACAGCATGCATGGTGCCTTGGGCATATTCCAGTAATTGCAAGACATGTTGGAGGCAAGCGTCATTCGAACGTCGGCCAACGCCTTGGGAAGTCAAGAGCAGACAGCGCCCGGTCCGCCCACCTCCTCCTATAGTGGGGTTCCCCCGCCGCCCCCCCCCACCGGGACCTGCCCACCTGCTTCGCGGCCAGAAGGTCCGCTACGCTGCCCGCTAGCACCGTCACGGGGCGCGGCACATCGTCAGCAATTGGGAACTGTAATGGGGGCGAAGGGGCACGTGGTGAGGTTAGAAGTGGCCAGGGTACGGTAACGACAAGAGAAGTCACCACACCGCTAACAATAGCATGACGCTGCTAACACGAAGACGCGGGGGCGGCGGGGGTGGAGCACGCTTTGGGAGAGGTGGAGTTGATGGGGGAGGCGTGCGGAGGAGCCCACAGTGGCGACAGCGGGACAAGCCCGTGTGAAATCTTCCAGGCAATACCTTCCCGCAACCCTCTCGCCCAAGTCCCTGCGGCCGTTGCTTCCTGCACGCATGCGCCCGCTCTATGTCCGCTTCGCATGATACTAACATTCCGCCTCCCATAACTACTCCATTACTCACCAATGAGCAAGCGTCCCCAATGCCAGCTGCCGTACGGCTGAGCAGCGAGGACACCCCTCCGATTGTGGATCCCGGACTTCCCCCTCCAGCTCCTCCCCCTGCTACACCGCCTCCTCCTCCTCCTCCGGCTGCGCCCTTGCCAGCCCCCGCCACTGATCCGCCCGCCCCACCGCCTCCTACGGTGCTGCTGGCCGTGCTGCCTGCGGTGACGGCGGAGGCAGGCCGCGAGGCGAGCACGCTGGTGTTGGGCTTGGTGGAGCGCAGCGTTGAGATGCGGGTGCCGGGCGGGGCGGCCAGGCCCAGGTGCGGCTTGCGGTAGACCTCCGAGGGGTTATGCAGCGCGCGCGCAAGGGTAGGGTCGACGGTGGAGATGGTGTCATACGAGGTTGCGCCGATGAGGCTGCTCGCGCTGTCGTACGGCAAGCCCGATGGGGCCTGAGAGGCGCTAAGGAGGGATGCGGCGACGACACCGCCGGGACCGGTGGCGGCGCCGCCTCCGGCGAGGTAGGATGAGGGTACGGCAGTGAGCGGTCCGCCGCCGGAAATGACGGTGGGCGGCGCAGAGATGACGGAGGGCGATGTAGGAGCTGCGGCTGTCCCGCTTTCCGACTGGAAGCCCCCCACGGAGGCTGCTGCCCCGCCATCATCGTCATGCGACACTGACGGCGCTGTTGTCGCTGCCGTTGCCCCTGCGCCTGAACCAACTAGTGCTGGGGGCAGCAGAGAGACGAGCAGCGGCGTGTCCCGCGGCTCGACCGGCCCTTCATCTCCCTCCGCGTCCTCTGTCTCCACCCGGCGGCTGACGGCGATTGCAAGGGCTGCACGCGCTGCCGCCGCAGCTGCGGCTGCGCCCGTTCCAAAGCTCACATCCCCTCCCATTCCTCCGAGGCTGCGGGAGCTCGCGGAAGAGCGCACGGAGCCAACTCGGAAGAGGCTGATGGCGGCCCCCGCAGCTCGTGCAACCGCCTGGAAGCGGCCGAATCGTGTGCCACCGCGCACGGCGCCCGCAGCCGTGGCACCCCGGGGCCCCAGTGGTGGCGCTTCATGGACCGACAAGTAGGATTCCTCTTCCTCCTCCTAGGGGAGGAGATGGCGGCGAGGGGGCATGAAGCGTGGAATAAGGGTGTCGTACAGTGAAGACAAACATTCTTGTGTACGCATGGGTGTGCCCAGGGTCCCTAAAGCCCGCTTGGAAGCCATGGCGCAGTAGCTCTGTAGTTTTAACACCGGTAGACCAGCTCCCTGCTCGCACCCACCTGGTTGTCATTACCCCCGTGCCGCCGCCGCGCCGCCTCGTCCTGCATTCGCGCCGTGTCCGCTGCCGCACGAGTCGCATCCTCCTCCGCCCGGCGGTCCGTGGTGAGGGCCATCAGACGCTCCTGAGGGTGATTTACAGTGACACGAGTACAGCAGCAAACATCAGACCGCGAAGCAAACGTTAACCAAGAGCGGGGCAGGAGCAACAAGGACGCCATGTCCATCTTGCATTCTAGGGTCCCCAAGGTGTCTAGAGACACGCTACTCCAGAATACGGTCAGCAAGCCATACACCCTTCTCCCCGCTCACCCCTCCTCCGCCGTCCTGGACCCCTTGGCACCCCCCTCCCGGCCCCCCTGCCACCCACCGTGAGCCCCGCCAGGTCCTCCATCACGTACTCGGGCGCCACCGCGGTCAGCATGCGGGCAGCCAGCTCGCCGCGACGCGGGGGGCCACCTAGGGACGGAAGAGGGGCAGAAACGGGCAGTAGCCAGTGGGGCTCTGAGTGGGGCTCTGAGCCACGAAATTACCCATGTTCGGAACCTAGGGTGGTCAGCCATTAAGCCTGGATGCTCGTCAGGCGCACACCACCACAAGCCGCCTAGAACCCGGACCTACCTGCTGATGGCGGGTCTTGCACGAACCGCAGGATGTGCGGCGCCCAGGGATTCCCTTGCAGCGCAACACTCGACCGAGACCTCCGCCGACCGCTATCATCACTGCCCGGCCGCCGGGGCTGGTGGGGCTGCGGTGTTTGCCGTTGTGCGCTGCCGTACAGGTTAGCGAAGCGAGCCGAGGTCGCCGCCGCTGTGGGCTGCAGCGTTAAAGATCCGACAGGCAGCGCCGGCGCGGATGCCCTGGCGGCGGGCGGCCATGCAAGCGAGGTGCTAGGCATGGAGCCACGTAGGGCGGACGTGGGCCGCCGCGGATCACCGCTGGCAGCGTTCGCCGCCGCTGAAACGGGCCGGGATTGCTGTACGGACGCCGACCTTGGTCTGTTAGGGGCCCCGGCAGCTGAGGAAGAGTCGCTGACGGGCCGCGGCCGCCCGCTGAGTAGCCGCCTCTGGGCGTTCAGGCCTCCGCCTCCGCCGCTAGTGGCTTTGCCGTTAGCGCCGCCGGGCGCGCCGTTGGCCGCTTCGTCTGCGTGCTCCTTCCACAGGCTGTTGGCCCCGCCCGCGAGGGAGCGGCTGAGCACGCCGCGCATGAACCTGCCGGCCTCGGACTTGGCATCCTCCCGCTCCTCCGAGGGGCGTGCAGCGGGAGGCTGCTCGAGCTGCATTACCTACGGTGGTGGGAGGAGCCAGGAAAAGTGAACAGGCGTGTAGCTGTGCTGATGACGATTGGCACGATGACAAAAGAATATAAGCACGTTGGAGGGGCTATGGCCAGATGGTGGTAGCATGGCACTGGTGGACGAGTCGTGGAGTTTGCATTCTGCCCTCCTCGATACGCCTTACCATGGTTCGCTGCCCCGCTAGACAATCACGCCAGTCGACAAGCCCGACAACGAACCTTGCGCCCAAAGCTTTCAAGCATCCAACGCATCAGCCCCCTCTCCAACTCACCGAGTCCAGCCAGTTCCTCTCCTCCGGGTCCGACGTCAGCGTCGCCACCATGTCCACCTCACCCCCGGCAGCCACCGCCGCCGCCAGCGCCGCAACCGCGGCCGACACTCCCTCAGCCCCGCCGCCCGCTCCGCTGTTAGCGCTAGTCCGTGTCAGGCTCGCAATGTCGGCTTTTGCGGCGTTGAATGGGGGCGCGGCCTCAATACCTGACATGGCGTTCGGGTCCAGCACCCACTCCAGGAACCGCACACGAGCTGCAATGGTCTGCGAGTCCAACGGATCGGCTTCCGCGCTAGCGCCTTCTTCCTGACCACCGCCGCCAGCAGCAGCAGTTCCGCCTGGACCGGCGGCACCCGTCCCCGTAGCACCCGTCACGGGCGCAGCGGCCCCAATGACAGAAGCCAGCGGATGTACCGAAGCCGCCGCGCTAGCCGGGGTTGGCATGGTCGGCACCCCGCCGCCGGTGGCAGGCAGCATCGTGACGGAGCGGCGAGGGCTCTGGCCGGCACCGCCGCCAAAGATGCTACCACGCACTGACGGGCCCACTGACGGGCCCTCAGCCGGCGTCCCGTTCCCGGACGCCAGCGCCGCCGACAGCGATGACATGAGTGCGTCAGGGCCCCCCAGGGGAACACCGCTCGGGCGACCCGCGGGAGCCGCCAGGCCAGCTACTGGTCCCGCCGCAGCGCTGCCCTGCGCACCTAGGTTCCCGGTGGTACTGCCACGGGCTGCGGCAGCGGGGGTGGCGGAGGTGGCAGCACCAGCGGCTGCGCCACCGCCGCTGCCAGAACGGATAGCCGCCGCCAGCGCCGTCAGCTGCTGTCGTGCAACCTCAGCGGCGCCGCGACGAGCACTGCGGAGTTGCCGCGGGGTGCTGTGCCCGCTGCGTGCGCTGAGCGGCCGGCTAGGGGCGGAACTGGGGGCTGCAGCCTCGGTAGCAGCGCCGGCAGTGCTGGGCCCTCCGGCGGTGCTGCCTGCTGAGGAACCTGACATTGCGGTTGCGGCGTAGCGCCGTAGAGCTGCCTCGTGCGCTTCCTGGGGGATGCAGAGAAGAGGAGTTGCACGGCACGACCCTTAAGAAGACGGAGGAAGACTCAAGAAGAAGAAAGGAAAAAGACCAGCACTAGTGTGCGCACTAGCATGTCTAAGCAGCACTTGTAACCTTACTGATAAAATGTAAACAACCATATACCGGTACAACACCCTCATCTAACTGATTAAGCAACAATATCATCCAACCCAAACAAACGCGCACCTTTGCCTGTTTTTCATTCTCCAGCAGCCGCAGCAGCGCCGCATACTTGAGCTTCAGCTCCGCCTTGTACAGCACCGTGGCGTTACCCGGGTGGTAATGGATGTTGGTCAGGATGGCGCGAGCGGCGGCGGAGCGGGCGGGGTCCGCAGACCCATGTACGGCAGCCATCAGCGTGTACAGCCCGTGGCGGCAGATGCGCGTCTGCGCGGGCTCGTAGCTCGAGAGGTTCAGCAGCGCCCACAACGCCATAAGGCCCACGTCCGCGTCGCCGCTCTGCCGGGAGATTACGAGGAGTTCCTCGTCCACATGACCGCTGTTTCCGCCGCCGCCGAAAGCATCAGCGCCTTGTGACCTTGGGGAGCTTGCCCGTGGTGAGGAGGACGCCTCTGCCGCAGCCGCCACTGCGGAGTGCGGCCGGCGGTTGGCGGGCGTACCCCGGAATGCGGAGACAGGTCGCGCTGCGGACCCCGGCCTGGTGTTGCCACTGCAGCAGTTCCCACCAGCGGCACCCGGGGCTCCCGGCCCGGCAGACGGCGGTCGGGAGGAAGACCCAGCACCCGCGGCCCCAGCACCAGCCGGCGACTGGTGCTGCAACTGCTGTTGCAACGCAGCCAGCGATGCAGCCTGCCCTGCCGCAACCTTGATGGGTAGGTCATTAATGGCCCGCAGCGGGCAAATCAGCTCCTCCAGGTGAACCCCAGCGGGCGTGCCCTCTGCCTTCCGGCGGTGCCGTACAGCCGCCAGCGCTCCGTTGTCGGCGCGGACCACCGCCACCAACCGCCGTACGGCACTGGATGACGTCACCGCCACCCGCCCTTCATGGCCGTTACCTGCCAAAAAGGCCAGACCTCGCACCGCCGCCTCTAGCAGTGGAACATCCACACCGCGGCCGTCCGTGGCGGCCGGGTGGGGAGCGGCGGCTGGGGGTACGGCTCTGGAGGAAGAAGCTGCATGGTTTGCGTTGGCGGTTGAAGGACGGGGGGGGCTGCAGGAATGTGGATGGTGGTGGTGGTGGTCTTCGCCGGTTGTCGGGCTGCGAGCATGCGGCGTAGGAAAGGCATCAGGAGGCGGGTCAGACGAAAAGAGGTGACGAGGGAAGCAGTCTAGCCGCGCATCTAGCCCTCAGATGGCTTGATCAAGTGGACACCATTTGAAGTTCCGCACCCACATCTAAGAGTTACAGCAGCCCCCAAGGGCCCGTCCCTAAATCCAGGATTACTTCGTGTCTTGAGTCTTGCGAACGGCGATAGTCAAAGGTCCCCTACTGATTTTCCTCTTCCCCACCCACCTTCCCGCCGCGCCCCTTCCCCTCGCTCCCCCCGCCGCCAGCGCCCGCTCCACCAGCGCCACCAACGACAGCGACAGCGCCTCCAGGCCGCCCAACGGCACCAGCAGCTCGGGGCAGCGAGACGCAAGCATCACCAGGTAGCCGCAACATAGGGCCTGGATGGAGGAGGGGCGAGGAAGGGGAAGGAAGGGGGAGAAACCGTAAGCGCGGGAGGAATGGGAATGGCTGTTGTCCGTACTTCACACAGTAACAGGTACCGGTAATGGGAACTGATGAAAAATTGAAACAAGGGATATCAGCTTCTTTAAAGCTGGAAGAGGCCGGAGGATGGGAACGCACGATGACGAGGCATACGCACCTGTAACCCTATGGCACCAGATGAGCTGACACCCCATCTCGGAGACGCTGGCACCCCTTGTTGGAAAAGCTAACGATTCTTGTTTGGAAAGCTGACACCCTTCGCTCAGCCCACCATCCACTCTGCCACCCTCCCGCTTCCCCGCTCCTTCCTCCCACCCCCCCCACCTGCAGTACGCTGTCCGCTGCGCCGCTCTCGTCCCTCATGGCCGCCAGCGCCAGCAGCCCCGAGCCGCGCTCCACCAGCGCCCCCGCAACCCCCGGGTGGCAGGCGCTCAGGCTCCAGGTGCACCGGGTCGCCAGACGCCGGAGAGCAGCCACGCCGGCAGTATGGCTCACGTGGCTGGGCGCAGCAGCCTCATCGCCCTCCGTGGCGCCAGCGGCACTGCGGCTGGTGGTGGTGCTGTGCTGGTGGCTGGGGTTGGGGTCGAGGGCGCCACCGACGCTAGGGTGGGCGGCGGCGGTGGTTGCTGCTGCGGTGGCGGTGGCGGCGGCGGCGGTGGCTTGGGATGCGTCGACAAGCAGCCCCAGGGCCTCCAAGACCTCTCGGGACAGCTCTAGCGGGGTGTCGGCGTGGAAGCGGACGCTCCACCTGGGGAAGGGGTCGGCATGGAAAGAGCGACGCATGGTTGGTACGTGCTGGCTCGGTACGCATGGGATAGCGAGATTGAGGAGTTGTGTGGTCGTAAAGAGTACCATTACAATCATACGACGTACTCAACAGTATTGCAGATTCCCACTTCATGTCGTGCCGTATATCAGCCTCATCTTGCCAAACGCAGACCCCGGCGAAGCCACATTAAAGCATGTCGAACTGGCTCAATGTTCATACCCGTGGCCGCCAGCCGCGGCCCCACTTACCAGCTGGTGTTGCCGGACGCGTACAGCCCATCCGCGGAGCAGATCATGTTGACCGGGTTCACCTTGTCTACCACCCACTGCCGCAGCAGCAGCCACAGCGCCATCACCAGGAAGCGACCGCTGCGGAGACTCGTAGCAGCAGCCGCAGCCGCAGCAGAGTACGCTGCCGCAGAACCGCTGCCGCCGCCAGCCCCAGCCGTAGCCCCAACCGCGGCAGGAGAGGAGCTGGGACCAGGTGAGCTATGTTGGGATTCACTGATCTGCGGCGGGGGCGGCTGCAGAGGCTTCCGTAGCCTTGTGAGGGCCCCCTGCAGCAGCACGCTCATGACCTCCACCCACACGCTGCTGTCAAGCGTCTGCGCCGCGTTGGCAGCGGCTTCCGCTGCGGCTGCAGCGGCCGCAGCAGCGGGGCTTAGGGCCGGGGCGGGAGCGGGAGCGGGTGCAGGAGCCGAGGCTGGGGCGGAGGAGCCGGATGTGGTCGCCGCCTGCCCTGTCGCACCAGCGGGCGCCGCGGGCACTGCCAGGCCCATCCTTGTCTTCTTGGGCGGTCGCACCCCCTCCACCATGCCGCGACGGTTGACCACGTGCCGGCTGAGGCTGTAGCAGGCGGCGGAGAGGTAGGGGCCACTGGGGGCGTGGTGGCATGCCGTACGCATGTACGACATGACTGCGACGAGCTGTTGCGGCTGCAGCGCGTTCTCTGTGGAGACAAGGTGCATGAGGGCGCAGGAGGTGGCCTGGAAGGGCCCGGGGAGGGCGGGGAGGTCCGGGAAACGGGCGGGCGGTACCAGGTAACACCAAACATGTAAGATCGACCAAGTTAGGAAACTTTTAACGTCCTCAAGAGGGAGGAGGTCTTCCAGCGGCACAGTTTGTGGTTGTCCACCAGCTCGCCTTTGGATTAGACATTGCCCCGTTTCCTAGTAACACTTCCAACCTCCTTGGATCTTAAGCCCCTACCGTCATCACATTAATCCAGTTCACAGTCCATACCTGCATTAGCACGCTCGTCGCGGTATCAAGCTGGTGGTGGCTGGCTGCCGCTGCTGTTGCCGGCGCAGGCCCCTGCCGTGACGGCGATGCGCCTTGGGTCACATTGCCGCCGCCAGCGCCAGAAGTGCTCTGCCCATTCCGATTGCCGTTACCGTTACCGCTGCCACTGCCGCTACCAGCCGCACCTGCTCCGCCATTGGCGGCGGACGGAACGGGCCCGTCGCTCCCGCGCCTCGACATGGACGTTGCTGAGGCCCGGCGGTACAGTGCCGCTCGCGTTGCTGCCGTACCACTGCCGCCTGCATTGGTAACGTTTGCGCTACTGCCGCTGTTACCCAGGCCGGCCATGGACGGCCGTACCACCGAACCAGAGCCGTTTCCGCCTTCGTTGGCTGCCCCGCCGCCGCCATTCGCAGAGGCAGCAGACGCTGCAGCCACATCGACGGCGATGGCCTTCATGGCTGGGGCAGTTGCGCTCTTGTACCTGGCAGCGGCGGCAGCCAGCAAGGTTTCGAGCACGCCGCTAGACAGGATGATGTCGCGATAGGGTCCCTGGAACAGCGCCGCTGCGGCGGTGGCTGCTGCCAGGGCCTCATTGGCAGAGGAGCCGTCAGCGGCCGGAGCAGCAGCTGCAGCAGCGGCATCCGCGGCAGAGGCGACAGCCGAGATGGAGGTATCGGCCTCCAAGCTGCGTTGGAGCTGCGATGCAGCAGCGGTCGCGGCGTCTACGGCGCCGGGCTGGAGTGTCGTTGCCATAGCCTGGCGGGTGTAACGTGGCATCATGCAGGGGTGGATTGGCACATAGTAAGGCAAGGAGAAGTGCCTCTACGCTAGCAGACCGAACGCGGGTTACCTCGGTTACCGCTACGTTTCTGAGCTATGTCCAGAAACTGAGTATTAACCCAGGTCGTCACAGACAGCATTTTTCATGGTTGTGTAGCAAACCAGGCGTTGCAACGCCAACTGTTGGGGTGAAGGTACAAGGTGCAGGCCTCACAAGACACACCAGCAATCGTGCGCACTGACCTGTATGACCCCCGCCGCCACCACATGGCAGTGCCCCAGCTGGTTCTCCAAAGCCGCCGGAAGGGGGCCGCGGGGGAGCAGCGGAACCCCCCCTGCCCCTGCCGCTACCTTGGCGCCCGGCTTCGCTGATGGCGGCGGCGGGGCGTACGGTAGAAGCGCCAGGGTGGCGCTAACGGCTCTTACGGCAGCGTCGGCGGAGGATTGCAGCATGTCTTCCGCGGCGGCGATAGCGCGCAGTTCACGGCGCATGTCGGCCTGAGCAGCGGGATCGGGTAGTGGAGAAATGATACCCATGGTAATTGGACGGCAAGTGGAGGGCTGTTGGTTTGACATGTCTCAGTTACCAAACTGAGCGAGCGCCACGCAGACACCCCCAGGTCGTTTGCTTACCTCCACTGCCCGGATCTTGGAGCGCTTCTCCTCGCGCCGCGCCTCCTCCTCTTCCTCGAAGAAGAACCTGCCAGGCTGCTTGCGTGCCGCCTCCATCTCGTCCAGCAGCGCTTGGAACTGGGGCGCGGAGGAGGTGCGGAGGGGAGAGTGGGTTGAGACAGGAGTTCAGGACGAGAGGCCTCGCCCATCGGAATAGAGTCACCCTGGGGCATCCATTCTGTCCCCTCTGGGCTTCCATCTCACCAAAATTCCGCCTCTTTATAGGTTGCCCAGCTTCAACATGTGAGCGCAGCCTTAAGTCCAAAGTTGGTGTGATTGGCCAGATGTGAATAAAACAGTGAAAATGTGTGAACCAGCCGCCAACGTGCCATCCACCCGGGCTCGCCAACACAGGATACTAGTCTCGGTGCGCCTACCCTCCGTTCATGCGCCCCACCCGCTCACCTCCTCCTCCGCCAGCTCCTTCTGAACGTACAGCCGCCGCAATGCCGCGTGTCTGAGGAAAGCAGCAGGCAAAGAAATGAGACAGGAAGCAGTGCCAATGCTCCCAGTCCGCCTCCGCATGCACGGAAATGTGGGATCCCCGTTGCCCGTATAAGCTTAACCCACTGCCTACCGATGCCTGCATGTAACTAAATTGCGCCAGACACGCATTCCGCTTATCCGGAGGTCTTCGCCAGTCCTCGCTCTAGAGGCGCCCCTATCACTATCATCCTCTAGCCTTTCCATCCTACCCGCGCCTACCTGGCCAGCAGCGCCCGGAACTCGGACCGCACCAGGCGAGTGTTGCTCTGCACCGGAAGGAGGAAGGCCCAAGTCAGCCAGGCCGGATGGGCCTTTTGAGAAAACAGCGGCTTTGCATGTTACCCCAGCCCCTAGCCTCTTAGCCCCCAGACCCTAAACATCCTCCTCCAGAACGTCGCACCGTGCTACCGTCAGTCCCGACCAACTGCCCCAAAGCTACCTGCACAACCGTCAACGATCCAAGCAACGCATGCAGCGCCCCCAGCATGTGGCTATGCGGCTGCGAAGCGTCACTGCTGCTGCCACCGCTGCCGCTATTGCTGCTGCCGCTGCCCCGAGATGCGCTCCTGCCGGCATCCGTTACGTCACCGTCGTCGGCTTCCTCTGCAGAGGACATGGTAGGGATGGGACTGGCACCACCACCGCCGCCGCTGCTGGCCGCACCAACCCGCTCCTCGACCTCCGCAGGCACCAGCCTGGCGGCAGCCACTGCCAGCTGCGCCATGTGGAAAACCAGAGCCGTCGTAACGGGTGTCGTACTGGCATCAGCGTCGTTGCTAGCTTCGCCGTTGCCAGCAGCGGCATCGCCGCCAGCAGCGGCCCTGGCGGCTGCTGGCAGGGGTGACGGTGGAGGTATCAGGAGGTTCGGTGACGACCCAAAAGACATTCGCACCGCCTCACCGCTAATGGATTCTCCGTCCTGCGAGGTGCGGGCGGCCGCTGCGGCGGCAGCGGCGGCGGCAGCTGCCGCAGCTGCCGCAGCTGCTGCGGCGGCCTCGGCGGCAGCAGCCGCTGCCTCCGCTACAATGGCAGCGGCACGGATCTCCGTCGAGCGCTGTTCGGCTGCCACAACCGCCCAAAGCGCCGTTGCCGCAAGTTCAATCATGTACGACAGGGAATGCGGCGGGAAAACGAGTCGCGGCAGTGGCTTTGGCGCAGGGTCCGCTGGCGTGGGTGACGGCGAAGGAGAAGCCCGCGGGGAGGGGGTCTCCTGGGCTGCTGAGGAGGTCAACGTGGGGCTGCGGGCCAGCGGGGGAGCCCCGGGCGGAACGGCTGCCGCAGACGCTGGATGATTCGGGGCGAATGAGACGCTGCGTTCCACGCCGCTCTTGCCGCCCGCGCGTGAAAGCGCCGCTGGCTGCCCCGTCATCGATGGCCGAGGGCTGGCCGATCCACCGCTGCCGTCTGCCGTCGCACCACTCGCCAGATGCCGGCTGGCGAAGCGGCCAGCCTGCAATTTCGCGCCATCGCCGCTGCCGGTGCCAGTACCGCCGCCGTCGCCGGTACCGCTTACCGTACCCAACGCACCGTCGCCGCTGCCCTCCCCGTCACCGCTGCCACTGCTCCGTGACCCCGCCGCTTCCAACTCAACGCCGCCAACGGTACGGCAGCCATCAGCGTACCGACCCAAGAGCGCTTCCAACACTGCCGGTAGCACCTTCAGGAGGGACGCTGCTACCTTGCCCGCATTCTCAATCACAGGGTCCCTCTTCTTCGGGGGAGGCGGTGGCGCAGCAGACGGTAACACACTGCGCAGGCGGCCGCCCGCCGCTTGCGGTGGCGGCTTAACCGGCGCCTCCGGCGGCGGGGGTGGCGGTGGCGGCGGCGCAGCCGACGCCAGCATATCTAGCCCTGACGTGTGGTCGTGCCCGACGTCACGTCCGTACGCTGCTATCGCGCTTATAGCGGCACACACAACGCCGTCAGTAGCGGAGCAGAGTAGCGGTTCCAGCGCGGCGACGCCGCCAGCAGCTGCAAAGGCGCGCCGTACACCCCGCTCGCGACCCAACATGGCGTACAGAGCCTCCGCCGCCATGACCTGTTGCACCTGCGCATCATCCTCTGGAGCCGTCGCCTCGTAGAACGGGTAGGGGTCAACAGGCGTCGGCGGAGGCCGCCACTGCTCCTCCTCCTCCCCCTCTTCCGCACCGTCCCCGGTCCCCTTGGCGGATGCGGGCTCACTGCCTGGAGGCGTCGGCTGCTTAGCCACCGGCTGCACTGGGGAAACGGACCGCGCCTGCAGCAACATCGCCAGCTCCGGATCTTCCGCCGCCAGCGCCGCTGCCTCCGCCGCCAGCTCAGCCTCCAGTGCTGCTGCCGCTGCCGCCTCCGCCGCCTCACGCTCCGCCCGCTCCTTCGCCTCAATCTCCGCCCTCACTCGCCGCTCCTCCCGTTCAAGCCGCCGGCGCCGCCAGCGCTCCTCGGCCGCAGCGTCGGCAGCGACACGCCGGTCACGCCGGCGCCGCCATGCTGCCACTTCAAGCGCGTGTTGCTCCTCCTTCAGTGAAGGGAAGCTGGTGGTTGCGGCCGTGACGAGGAAGTCCAGCTTGGGGCTCACCGCCAGGCAGGCGGAACGCGCGCGGGAGTCGACAGCTAGTACGGCAAGCGCGCCCAGGCAGTTGTAGACGATGCGGTTGGCGGTTTCCAGGGATACCTCGCCCGGCGGCACCGCGTAGCAGTTAGCCAGGGAGATGGGGATGCAATCCGGAAGAAGGGCCCTGAGAGAAGATAAACGGGTTGGGCACTGGATAAATAATGCATTCACCCCTAGACGAGGAAACCGTGCCCTCACAGCTACAATACGTTTGGACCAGCACGCAGGTATGCCGCGCCTCTCCTGAGGCTACTGCTCACCGCATCGCTGCATCCGCCGCCTCATCAGACGCCATAATCGCGGTGTCCAGCTCCGCACCCTCGCAGTACATCTCTGACACCCCTTTCTCTAGCTTCGCCGCCGCCGCTGCTGCTGCCGACAGATGCTCCACCGCCGCTGCCGTCCTGGCCTCCTGATCCGCCGACGCAGCAGCCGCGGTCGCCTCGCCACGCTCCACCGCCTTTTGGCGCCATTCGTGGGCCTTACGCAACGCCGAAACCAGCTCCGAAACCACGCCGGCCCCCACCAACGCGCTGCGGGGTCCGCTGTACGACACCAGGGCCCACGTGGCTGCGGTCGCCGACTCTAGGATGCTGGCCAGCATGGCAGGCTGGTTGGAGGGCACGTGCCGCTCCCACCTGGGGAGTGGAGTGGTGGGAAAGGGTTCCGTGAGAAGCTGTGGGAGGGCCGTCACCCCGTCAGGTACCTGTGGGTCAGTCAGCAGGTGGTGCTAACCAAGCGAGTATGAGCCTATGGGCCTTGTGTTACACGCTGCCCTTGTTTGCCTCCTCGTCCGAATAATGCAACTCGCATGCCGTCTGCATACAATCCCGGTCGCGTCCTTCGCCACAGTTCGCCAGCAATATCCAACCAAGACCCACCCCCCAACCACACCCTTCACCTGCCCTAACCACACCACACATGCTGCCTCCCCTCCCTCCTCCATTGCCGTCCCCCACACACACCTCAGTGCCGTGAGCAGCCCCTCCTCCAGCAGCCTGTGCGGCAGGTGGTTGCCGTGCAGCCGGTCCGCCGCCAGCTCCCGCAGCCCCGCCAGCCCCTCGGCAACCAGCTTGGCGGCGGTGGGCGGCGCGGCGGCGGCACAGGGGGCCACGCGCAGCTTGGCGAGCAGGCGGCCGCAGGCGGCGAACAGGAGCTGCGCGCCGGGCTGCGGGTGGGAGGACCACCAGCCGGCGAGGTCCTTGGGGCGAGAGGAGGGAGGAGGAGGGAGCAGGAGGGAGAGGAGCAGCTTAGCGGATAAGGGAATGAGAGGATAAGGTAGGCTCCAGAGGAATGATGTACGGTTGTGGAGGGGTGGAGAGGATGGATCAAAGTAAGCGGGCAGGGGGGACTCAGTAAAGGGTAGGTTTGTGTAGCGTTGTTTTTTTATGGCTTCCTGCTTGCGGAGGTTAGGTTGGCTTCGGCGAGGGTAGGGGCCCCCAAACGCACCTGCGCAGAGGTGATGGGGGTGCGAGCCACCTGCCCCAGCATCAGGCTGTACACGTCAGCATTGCCTGGGGGACATAGGGTACGGGAGGTGGAGGACGGGGGTAAGATGTAAAGGTCCGTCCAACAATGGTTGGGTGCTTCGCCAATTCGTCGTAGGGCTTCTTCCTTGCAGGAAATGGTAACCGCAAGCGCGACGGAACGGGAGCATGCGGACAGCACGGACATTGATAAGCTTATACAGTCACGGGCTTATAGCGTAATGGACGCTTGCCGTCCCGCATGCTCTGTACATCAGTTGCTGTAATCCCTCACCCAAACACCGAAGGTCGCTAAAGGTAAGGCTTAACGTAACCCTCCTCACCCTTCAGCTCCCCCGGCTCCAGCGACGTCACCGGGCAGGCGTCGTCCGCTGGGTGAGTCAGCAACACGGCCTCCTTGCTCTGCCACTCCTGTCGCATTGGGAAAAGGGGCAAGCGGCGGCGCGGGGAGCGATGGAGGGTTAGGATGGCACTGGGGCGGAGAGTGGACAAATACCCAATACCTTCATCTTCGGCTAGTTTGCAACCCGTGAGTTGGCACACAATTTAGGAGGACCCACACCACATGATGCCACCCTAGGAGCTCGCGCTCATGACCTTATTCTTTCCGTACTTGCGGGCCCCACATCACCCCTGCCAGTCCTAAGCCCCATCCACCGCCGCCTATCGGTATTCCCAACCGCCTACCGACGCACCCTGACCCCACAAACCAACCGCCCCTTGCCTGCGTGATTTCGATGTGGCCGCCTCCATTGGGCCCAAGATGCGGCGTGCGCGCCTCCTTCACTAGCCGCCACCGCTCGCTCTCCGCGCCTGCAGAACGCAAAGATAAGGTGGATGCGAATGCATGGGACGGGTGGCCTGCCAAGGTTGTCGCATGCGCCCCAGGTCAAGAGGCATGTGTATATACGGGTTTTGGTGGGCCACGCTGCACTGTACTTCATACGTTGCTCCCTCTCGCCAAGTTATAATGGGCCGGCCCATGGCGTTAGCCCTGCATGGCGCCCCCAACCACATCCCCTGCAACCACATCCCCCTGTCCTTGGCATGACCCGTATCCCTGCCCATGTAAGACGTCTACTGCCACACACTTTTCTATTGGCACCAGGTCCTCCCCCGTGGCACAAACCGTACCCAGGATGGTATCGGATATGATGCCGTGAAGTGTTGCATAGCCACAGCCCTCAGGCACGTCCAGGTCCAGAGTCTGCAAGGGACAGTGGGTGTCTTTAAGGTAAGGTGCAGGGAAAGGGATGTTGTGCAGAAACATTGGAGAAGGGACTGCTGCGATACGACACGTGAGACCACGCGGGTCGTAAAATGGTACGTGGTGTTTGCCCTGTCGCCATGTACCCGGTGACAGGCGGGGCAGGAAAACATGATACTATGTCCTCAACAAGCATAGAATATCACCGAAAACCTATGCTGCAGGTAATTAGACCCCGACCTTCGCTAGCAGCACCAAACCGACATGCCGCGGCGCGCAAGATGCATGGCATCCCACCTTTGGCTGCTCATCCTCTTCCTTCACAAACAATTTCAGCCGTACAGGCCGTCCTGTTCCATCTGGGACGTCTTCCTTGCCGTCCTCTTGAGCAGCACTTGGTGGGTCCACCGGTCTTGCTCCATCGCTATATACAGAGCCTTCCAATTCAGCCATTATCGCGTTATTTCACAGTAACAATTCATACTGTTAAACAGCAAGTCACTCCTACGCAAACGGAAGACGAAAATGCGCAGTCCTTTTCGCGGGTCCGCGGTGCATATATTCCAATGCCCTTACAAAGGTGTTACACAGTCAATATGTCGTTATGTTCATAGATAAAGGCTTTCTGCAAGTTCAGGGTTAATGCAGTTGGGTTCATCTGAGGGGACTTGGAACAAGGTACCCCTTTCAGTCATAGGTGACGCAATAGGTGTCCCATACGTAATCGCGATCGTGGATTGCTACGCTATCGTGGCGCCAGGAGCTGCGTAACCCTTTCCGATGTACGGAGCTAACTGAAACGGCAATGCCGCAATGCGGTCTATGCGGACGCTGCTCACGTGTGCACTGGACTCCTTTGTTGGAAAGAGTATGGTCTGGGCAAAGCGTGATTCGCCTCGCAGTTATTTTGTAACTATGTACCGTTGCTTCCGCGTCATGCGTCATGGTGGCCGGACTTCAGGAACTTCCCGCTCGGTGAACATGCAAATCTACGGCCAACGCTTATATGTACATATGCTGACGAAGGTGGCAGCTGTAGTGCACGTCAAAGCAGCTCGCCATCACGCTGCAGGCTGCACAGCATTCCTTCTGGAGCAGCAACACCGCCAGAAGTCTCTTTCGTAGCTTATGGCTGCTGGCGGCGGTGGTGACCGCAATCACACGGGGCAGAACCAGCCCCTTCAGTTGACAGCAGCGGCACAGCAACCTGGCCCTAACCGCCATCGTACGCAGCTACAGCCGGTACACGCTGCGACCGGTAGCAGGGATGAGGTGCCCGTAGGGCGTACTTCCACAAGTAGGAAATTTGGGAGAGCTGCAACACCGTGGATCACCGCGTTCTGGGATTCAGGTTGTCCTGTATACGTTCAGCTCTGTAAGCAAGTTTCACGCCTGTGACGAGTGCTGGTCTCTGGGGTCGCAGCAGGAAAGTGGCTACTCCGTTGCGCCTTAACTTGATGTATGGTATCTGAATTATTCGTACAATGGCTGTACCACACTAACGCCCTTTCCTGCAGCACAAAGTGGTCCGCTCTTGTTAATTCAGCCAAACCACCCTCTTTCTTTGATTCTCGATAGCCATGCCGCACCACCGTCATACATAGCAAAGGACGACAGCCCGCGCGCATGCAAGAAGTTCCTCTTGCAGCCAGTGCCGCACAACAGGTGCACATCCTTAGATAGCACCGCCTCCTACTGGTTCGCCCGCAGTGCGGCCGCCGCCTCCCAGTCCACCAGCGAGCCTGCCTCCACCACCACCGTTTACCATCGGAGCCGCGCAGCGGTTCTTTAGCAGCCGGTCTGCACCTGGCCATGCGGGCCCCAGGGGCAGCGCAGCCGCCGCATGCAGCGCAGTGTGGCCAGTACCCAGTAGGTCGCCGTTGGCGGCGGCTGCCGGGCTCACCGTCGTCCTGCGTCCTGGGGGGCACGGTAAGGGAAGGCCTGGAAAGCGAAGAGTCGTCCAAGCGCCAACAGCAGGTACAGCCCGGCTCTTTCACGACCATGAAGGTCTTCCTGTCACCATTGTATCCGCCCAAGGGAATACCGGTAGCAGACATGGACGAAACTCCTTAGAACACCTCCCGGCTCCCTACCCACCGGCAAGGGGCAGCCCTGCTCCTCCACCAACCACTACAGCGCCTCCTCACACCCCGCCCGGGCAAGCCGCAATGGGCAAGTCCGCAGCCAGTAACGCGTACTTAGCCAGCTGCAGCGCCCCAACCCCCCGCGTCTCCAACCAGGCCACTACTTGCAGCTGTCGTCCCTTGACCGCCACCCGCACGGTGCCGACGTCCAGGGGCCAGCCGTGCACGTGCAACAGCCTCAGGACGGCCAGATGCCCGCCCCGGGCAGCTGACGGAACTTTATAGGCTTCACACCCTCGGAAAGCAGGTACTCACAGTTGCCCCTACTGCGCCGCCTGCTCTGCCACATCCGCATGATGCAGCCCCTGCGCCCAGCATCCGGACAAGCGGCGGCAGCGTGGCAGCCCAGCGCAAGCCCGCATGCCATCTGCTCCACCTTGGCGTGCCAGGTCAGGGGCGCGGCTGCCGGCAGCGGATGCCAGAATGCCTTGGCCCACAAGCTCATCAGCAGCTGCTGCGGCGGCTGGTCCTCTAGCTGCAGCGGGTCCGAAGGCGGGTGCTGCCGCCGTTGCGATTGCCGCTGCTCCTGCAATGCGTCATGGTAACATAGCTGCAGGCATCAGAATGCGGGCCTATATTCTTTTGTTTGGGGAAGGCAAAAGCCCTGCAAATATTGGTGATATGCGCCTTCGTGAGCCGCACTCGCTGATCTCTTTAGTAAAAGGCGAAAGAGATATGAGAGACGTGGGCGGCTCAGCGCTTGTTGAGATATGTATTGGCTAGGAACCTAGCCCCAGTGCTTGCGCAATGTACGAACGTGGGACCGATGGTGGGTCACGTCGTTCTTGGCAGTTAGCGTATGGGGGGCCCTTGTGGCGCGCCTGGAACCAAGGGCCTAGAACGCACTTGTCCATGAAGCTTGAAGGCAGTTCAGCTGGACGCCCTGGAAAACGCTCAGGGCTCGCAGAAGATGTCCCCCGGGTCACCACCTGACGCTTACTGTAATCATATGCATGATGGCATTTCCCTCATGCGTACAGGCTGCAAGGGTCCATCTACGCTGTTCCCCATTTGACTCGAGGACCTGCCTTCTTCCTTGTAGCCTAGGGCTGGGTATCGCTTACATTTTGGTTTGTGATCATCATAACGGCCGATCATTCTTTATATATGACATACCACCGGATGAAACACACCTGTAACGCTAATCACTCAGCGCCACCGCCCCGTGTTAGCGCCGTACAATCAGGACGATACCGACACACCCCAACTGTTTCCTCTCAGTCACGTCCATCACCTGCACCACTCCTCTCATACATCCCATCGCCGCACTGTACGCCGCATCTGTCCAACACTACTGACCGGGTGCCACATCATCATCCCGCCGACACCCCGCACCCATCTTCCTTTTCTAGGTCTACAGCTAGCTCCGTTTCGGTAAAGATAATTACGCGGCGCAGTTAATGTACACAATTGCAAATCCATATGGGACATATGCATGACATGACAACATCATGCCAGACTTCTGGTCCTGGCTCCGCATATATACAGACCTCCTCCCACCTGGCCCTTCTCGAGTCACGCTCGCATGTGCACTGAGTAGCCCAGCAATCCACCCATACACCCCCACGTGTTCGGCGATTGTGCTGACTGCAAGCGTGCTGTCGCAAAGGCCATCTGGGATCCAAATCGCATGTTGCACCCGTACATTCGTACATACCGTGAAGCATGCCGTCACACCATCCCTCTCAACCTCTCACCTACCGACCACAGTACGTAGACGTTTCGCACGTGCCACTCTCTCTCACACACACACGTTCGCGGCCGGTTTTCCGAATACACATTCCTACTGGCGGCCAGTTTACTTAACACCCATCCGGCCAAGCAGGTCTACTAGTTGACCCAAAGTTAACCAAACTACTATACATTCCGTACATTTACATCCATGTTTTAATCCCATACAGCTACATCCACACCCGATTCCTATACATCCGAACCCTAACTAGGACCATAAGGTCAGGAATAGTTGCATACACACAATTTTCACATCCGCAGGCCACCAAGCCCGGTAGTGCCATCACTGCTATGCTACCTCAGATTGGCTACCTTCCCCTCCTCCCTCATACCTGTCGGAGACTTGAGATCCGGTCACACCGCATGTCACACTATAATGTCACACCCCCACACAGGCGCGAGGCGAGTTGCTACAGACACTCACCACCTACATCTGTCCTCCCCAAACAACGCCGCTACCAAACCCTGGCTGCCGCCCGCCGACAACTGATCCCCCCCGTCCATCGCCACCAACCAACCGACTTCCCCCCCTCACCCGCCTCCCCTCACCAGCTCACAACAACGACCCCTCCAACCGCTCCATCAACGGCCCACTGCCGTACATCTCCCCATGTCGTACCATCTCCCGTACCGCCGCCAACCCCCCCTCCTCTCCCTCCCCATCCGGCCGCCAGCGCCGGTACCTGCCCCAGTGTGCCGCTAGTGCCGGGTCATCCGCGGGTGTCACCAGCAGCACAGCGGCGGGGCTGGCGGGGGGGCAGGTAGCGGCCCGGGGACAGCTCCCCAGAGGGGCGCTGCTGCTACTACTGCTGATGTTGCTGCTAGTGTTCCTGGCGATGCTGGTGCTGGTGTATTCAATCCGGTTGGCAGCCAAATGGAATGGCAGACCCCCTCCTCCTCCTCCTCCTCCTCCATCTCCTGAACCGGCTGCCCCTGCCCCCGCCCTTCCTCCTCCCCCTCCTGCCCCCCTCCCTGCCTCCCCTCCTCCCGCTCCCCCCTGCGGCTGCGCTCCCCCTGCCAGCCGGTACGCCCCCTCGCAGCGGCGCCACCACCACCAGAAGCCGCCGTCGATTACCCGCATGTGCCGGCAGCGGGTGTACCTGCAGGGGGGGCCAGGGAGGGGATTAGGAAAAGCTGGACGGGAGTAATGAGATGGGAAGGGTGCTTTCTGCAGGGGGTCGAGGTTGGGGCCGTGGTGAAGGGTCGAGGCAATGAACCTGCTATGCTTTTCGTCCATCATCGCGTGCGAGCCCTGCTTACTTCCCTCTTGCTCCCTTCCGCATTCCTGCATGTCTGCGATCCTCCTTCTTGCCTGCAACGTAGACGCCATGCTTTCCCAGTCCCTTGCCGTACACCCTTAAACAACCTCCCCTCAAAGCGCACACCCACCACGGGCTCACTTCATCCCCCCCAGTGCGCACACCCACCATCTCCCATCCAGCAGCAGCGGCAGGTGCGCGGAGGCCATCACCACATCCAGCACATCCTAGTGGGGCGGGGCAGGGTGGGGTAGAGGAGGGGAAACGTTTGCAGGAGGACAGGGGCCCTACCAATCCGTAACATGAAGGAGGAGGGAGGGAGAGGAGGCGAAAGATGGGGAGCGCGCGCGCGAGGGGGAGCGGGCTGGAACAGGGTTACTAGACGCGTGGAAAGCGCGGAAGTTGCGGCGTAGGCCGTGCACACAGGTGAGGTGTAATTCTGTAACTGATTAGCCCTGACTGAACCACTTGGGAAGACGCAGTGAGTGGAGAACAGGTACGCCCATACGCGGGCCCTACACGATGCCCGAAGCCCCTGATTGGGATTGCGGAGGACCACACGCGGAGGGAACGCACGGTACGGCGGCTCTCATGTTGCCGTAAGCAGACAGCAGCTGAGCAGCATCCCAGTCCCACCGCTCACCTGTTTAGACTCGAATGCGGTGATGTGGTGGGTGGTGAGCAGTGGCAGGCGGGTGAGAAGCACAGTGGTGCGGCCGCGGGACATCCGGGGGCCTGGTTGGGAAGGGAGGAGGGGAGAGGAACAACTAAACATGTCGTCATGTGACAGGGTGCGTTACAACATGGGTGCGGATTCGCCCAACCGACAGGGAGGGACGGAAGGGGTAATGCCACATTGGACGGGGGGAAAGAAGAATTCCCAAAGTGTAAGGGGGAGGGAGGATGGGGGTGCACGTGATCCCCGGTCCCGGTCCCGGTCAGGCAAACATATTGGGAATGGAAGCGGCGAAGGTGGGGACATAAAGATAAGTGCCGCAACGGCGGGTGGGGCGGGTAGGGATGGGGGATGTGCCTGGGTTACTCGCAACGGGATGAAATAGTAGCAGTATGTTCAACAGGGAGAGGGAGTCAAGGGTAAAAGCGAAAAATGGAAGGAAAGCAGAGGAATGAGTGGGTTACGGTAGGTCGTACCCGTCTGCATGCCCGCACTCCGCCCATCCAACCACCGACCCACGTGTTGCCGAAGCAACATCCTCGCGCAACTGCATTACTACCGGTATACCACTCAACGCCCCTCAGGTCCCCACCTGCGTCGCTGGGTAGGCAGTTGTCCAGCCATGTGCGCGTAATGTCGCCTGGACAACACAGAGGGAGCACACGGGCGTCAGGTGGGAGCTCGGGTGTGGAGGTTGGTGGTGGCTACTGCCAGCGTGTGTTGCTATAGGTCACATCTTGGGGCTAAGGAAGGCCACTGATACAACTCCTAAAGGCTGCGAAGTTTGGCATTTCATTCACATGGTTGTCGCTCTTCCCAAACCGCTAACTCCGCCTGCGGCAACACACCTAGGATTCCAACTAGACCGAAACGTCGATGTCGGAGTCCCTCCTGTGAAAGCAGCCGAACCATTTCATCCACGGCGTGCTCGGACGGTACACCGCATGCAGCCATGGCCGTGACCAGGGCGCCACTTGAGCTCCCGAGCATAGGTACTCGAGACGTTTCCAAGTGTTTAGCTAGGCCCTTCAAAACACCTGTAGAACAAGTATACCAAAATGCCGTTGGCCGTGGCTGGACACAGTCATGCCGAGGTAAGCATACATGTACCGGTACCGGTGTGTTTGGGAAAGTAAGTTTATCGCTTCGAAAGGCTAGCTTACCCAGTTGCCAGAATACCATGACTCCACAACCAGGCCATGATATACTGAAGTTTGGTCGCATTTCCTGTCGCGCTGGGTGAGCCTGGCGATGGACAGTCGTGCGCAGGTTGTGACCACTGCCCTAGACACGTCTCTCGCCGCTGCCAGTATAAATAAATGGCGTGTAAGTGTCGCGGTATGTGCAGTATACATGAATTGACGTTTACATGAATTGCTTTTCCGTTGCGCACGACGGATGCGTCATAAGCTGAAAGTGCAGTTTACACAGCTAGATAAATATAGCACCTGTTCGTCGATGTCGTTTTAGTACTTCCATTATAAGCTGTATATGCTCACCGCATATCGCAGGATGCCGCATCCGCCAGATAGTGCTGCCGTATTATACATGAGAGACGAACATGTGCTTCGCCTAATCCACCGCATACAGTAGAACGCAGCAACATAGACTAAACTTTGCGGTGGCGCGTTGAAATGCGGCAATGTGTTCGTTGCGACTGCTCAGCTACCGTCGGCATCCCTTAGGTTTAATCATTATATTATAAAGTGCGGTGAGACAATTCCCGTCAATTGGCAGCTATCGGCAGCTAAAACAAAACCGTTGCTAGGCTGGTTTCGCTCATTGGCACACACATGGCCTACCTGCCACCCCGATCCATTAAGGCATCCTTAGTAAAATCCGCAAACGTAGTAAGGTGTCGCCCGTAATTGACATATTTCGCAATGAGGATGCAAGATTGATGTTGGGCTCCCATTGGAGACAACTTTGCAAGGCTATAACGCCTGAGCCGTAATTCCCGCATGGTACCCGTAACAACCATAAGTGGTCAGGGATTTCCAGCATGGACACTGGGAAAGCTGCGTGCACGGCGCCCATGACTAGCAGAGCGCAGCAGAGTTGTCGCATGCAGTGAGCTGCCCGCTCAACCGCACCTGGTAAATTCAGGGTAAAGGAGTGAGGACCGCTTGCCTTCTGGCCAACTTCCGTTGCCTTGCCGCCACCCGCATTGCCGTTGTTGAGTCCGTCCGTTAACAGCACTCGCAGCACCACTCCCCTAGACCTCCACACACCAGCTACAGCGGGGCCGCCGCACAGAAACGCCACAGACCCTAAATGGTGTCTTAGGACAGCTCTCGGTACGCACCAGTGTCGTACACGACAGGACACGAAATCGTACAAGATATCTGCAAAGTCTTGGACCACGTGTGGGATTAGGCAAGAAAGACAGGCATCCAACTCTTTGAACCCCTTTGCCGTGCACAGATTCCAATGAAGTATAGGCGCTCTCATTCCACCCTACGCTGCAAAGCAGCTTCCTGCATGCAAGCCAAACCTATATTCTTCGCACCTGCGCACGCAACACCGACGCAACTAGGTTCCCCAAGCATCTTTCAGCCGTCACACGCGCCATGCCATGGGCTGAAACACCCAACTGTCAGCTACCCGCGCTAATACCTTCCAACTACTGCAGCCCTCGTAGGCCGCCATGCCCCACCATATGCAACCGGGGCTCTCACTAGGAGTCTAGGACCCTTCCGCTAGGACATCCGGCTATTACGGCAACCGATACAGCGTACACATGCTTCATGAGGACCGGGGGCGGGGCAGCCCCGTGTGCCCAATAGGCGGGGCCCCGTCGCACTCACGCCCCCCACTCGCCGCACACGTGCTTGCCAGGCCAGGGAACACCGCTGTATGCTCGAACTAGAGCTGCCCTTGACCCAGCCCCGGCATACACGACCGTAAAACCACCGATCCTAACAGGATGCCGCGACAAATGATAGCACCCGTCCGGCGTTGCGGACGCACGCCACCACAGATGCCGCGAATTCCACTGTTAGAGAAGCGACTTTGTTTAAGATGACGCCGGCGTGAGCTTCTTGGAGAGGATAAGGGCGTCCGGGGTTGAGAGCTTCTTGTAGTAGTCCTTCACCGTCTCGCCCGCCTGGAAGCCGTGGCGCTGGTAGAAGCGAATGGCCTCCTCGTTGTCCACCTGCGTGCGGCCGCGGAGGTACGGCAGCGATTGGGGTGGTTGCGCAATGTACGACTAACAGGAAGGAATGCTGAGTATGATGTAGAGAGCAAACGAGGGGACTGGTCTTCTCGCTGACAGCATGCATGTGGGCAGAGCGGGTTGGAGGTGCTTGGGAGGAGGGGACTGCGGTTGTTTGGGGAGAACCGGTAGAAGACGGCGAGTAAATGTACGGCATGGTTGGGGGATGACGAGATGCAGCCGCTTCGGTTCCGTATCCTTGCACAAGCCTGAACCACCTGCACTCTTGATATGCATTGATCGAATGCCCTGCGTGCCAAGACCTCAAGCTACCTAGCCTGTCGACTTGTCAGATATCTCGCAGCAGCAACCGCGGACGAGGGCCCAGAACGAGGGTCACGACCGGACCCCATCGCCCAACGCCCTCCTGAACACATTCAACGCCTGCCGCCCATTCAACCACTCGTTATCCCCACTCGCGCCCCGCCACCCTCCCCCTAGCCCCCACCTCGCCCGCCCACCTGCACGTGCACGAACGCCTCCTCGATGTTGGGGTCCTGCTGGCAGGCGGCCAGGGAGCGCTGCAGCAGCTTGCTGCCTGCCAGGGGGAGGGAGGGGGAAGGAGGGGGCAGCAGCAGCACGAGGACACCGGTCAGTGCTGCCCCAGCCTTGCTGACTGTGACGGTGGAAGAGGAAGGGTGGAGTCCGCATGCGTCCTGCCTAGGAGCGGCGTGAGAGTCGGTAGGGTGCCCCTCTGGTGGCGACGGGGCTGCCGGGTGGCGATGCGAAAACAACCCGGCATAACTTTGGGCCCCCTTAGGAGTGAGACCCTGGGGAGCCGTGTGTGCTTGTGTTGCTTGGCTACTCGCCAGCATGCACCCTGCACCGTGGCAGAACGCGGGAAGCCCAGTGCCGTCCGCGCCGCGCCCGCGCTGCTGGTAACCTAGACGTTGTATGGATCGGTTGATGTCCCTTCGGAGCCTCCCGGCCATGCCTAGGCCCCAAACCACTTGGGCAGATAGCCCACAGCCCAACACCAGCCTCCACCCCTAACTGGGCTTACTTCCCTTCCGCCACTCCATCCTAAACTCCCTGTGTTCCTTTAGTATGCTGGGGATAAATCCCAGGGAACGGCATTCTTACCGATGTTAAAGTTGCGGTAGGGCGCCAGCACTCCTAGCGTGGCGATGTACGCTTTAGCTTTTCCGTTAGCCTGATGGGTGTCGTACACGCCAGGAAGAGTCCGGTTCGTTTTGGGAAACGGGTCAAACATTGAAGCAGGGATTCGTCAATGTTTTACTATGAGTGGGTATGGCTGGCAACCCAGCCTGTCAGAGCTCACGCCATGGATGTGGCCGGAGAGTGAAGGGAAGGGCATGCCAAACTGGGTTTATCGTATTCACGTACTGCACATAGTTTGTCCCGCACGTCACGCTGCGGTGCATGATTCGCAAGCGCTTTCTGTACGGCACCCAACACACGAAGGCAGTAGCCCACCCCGAGGCCCCCACCTGCTTCTCGCAGCGGACGGCTATCGCGCCGACGAGGACGTCATTGTGGAATGCTGCAAGTCGCCAATTACGCACGATGTTAGCAGCGCGAAATTGCCTTTGGCCGCCATCGCCAAGCTCGGTCGCACTTACCTAGTTGGGTCAGCTCGCCGCACGCCATGCATTGCCGGTAGATCTCATCCTGAACGCATGAACATAACGACAAAGTGCGTCTACTTGTATCTGGGGTTCATCTGTCAGCAAAGCGAATGATTGGCGGCCTCATTTACGCACCGCATACTTGATAGGAAATATAACGCTGTTCAAGAGTTTGAGTTGCTCCAAGTTCTTTTCTCTTACGACATCAAAAGACACAGGCAGCTCGCGCTTTGCCATGTTGTTTATAGGTGTGTCTACCGCTAGCACTTCTTCAGGTAAGGAAAGGAATATTTAAGCAGTAGATCTACCGTTGTACTTGGATTGCTACCGCAGGAATGATTAATGGCAGAACACCTGTAAGGCCCCGATGCGTAAGCTGTTGGGACTACCTCAATTCAGACAGTGCACAAAGATATAACATAGGCACGTCACTAACTGTAGCTTAGTTGTCAATCTATTAGGTAATATAGTCCTGTGACCAACTATTGTTGCCCTGTGGCATGTGCGAGCAACAGTTATGAAGGTGCCTGCATATTACCGATTTGGTAAGGTTGCAACAGTGCGTTTCAGTCTACTCTTGTCTACAAGAGCTTACTGACGTATACTGACGGCACTTAGCTGAGGGTTGAGCTGTCATGCCGCTATGGGCTGTCTTTCTGGAGTCTCAATCCTTGGCAGGCCTTAGAGAAAATTGCAAACACCTATAGCTTTGTGCATTCCTTGAAGGTGTTTGGTTTCTACAACAGCTGTTTAGTGCTTGTGCCTGCGTCATGGTGGCAGTCCCCGGAAATTTTACCACTAGGGAAATGTGTTGGAGCTTCCCCCCGGAGCGCGACAAAGCGCAGACCAAGGAAGCTGCAGCACCACCGGAGCGTCAATAGTGGCACTTTGCACTACCCTCTCCTGGCGCCGTCCATGGTGTGGCGCATATAGACACGGCGCGGCGCTGCCGAGCAAGCCCGGTCCAGGCCAGGATCGCTCAGGCAAGAAGATAGGGCTGGCCAGGGATTTTACCTGCATTGGTGGGTCGGGGAGGGAGGCAGGTAAGAAGGTCGCACTGGAGGGATGCCGGACGTCCCGTGCAATGTATTCGTGACGGTCGTATCTTGGGATAGCCTGCTTACATACAGTGATAGCATGCATCTAGCCAACAGTGCCACTTAGCCCACCCACCCATGTTATTCCAAGGTAATCGTGACCCATAGGTTGCCGTACTTAACTCGGTTCTTTGTCACCGAGCAAGAGCACTGACCAACAGTACATGCTCCCCGCCTATCCCAACCCAAACCCCGTCCGCATCCTTTCGAAACCCACCCCATGCCAAAACCCCCATCCCCATCCCAACCGTCGCCCCACCCACTCAGGAGAGAGTGGCCCCTAGTGGGGCCGGAGTGAAGGGCGGGAAGCTAGTTGGGCGAAGCTAGGAGCATGAGGAGGGCTCGCCGTAGCGCGGACAGCAGCGGTTCACGGACGCTTGCGAGTAGTGGCTTAACATTGACCAGGAATGCACAGCGGCGATGGTAGGTGGATGGGTTGGTAACGGGTGGGTCGACAGTGCCGGATGTTCAGGGGTTGGTGTCGTGCATGGGTTGGGTTACGGTCTTCGCGGTATTTGCATAGTGATTGCTATGGTATGGTGTTACATGGGGGTTCCTATTAGGGCTGTCCCAGACCATGTGGAGCCTAAACGAGCCGAAGACCCATAGGCTCGCTACCGAGTTCGCCCGTAGGGAAGAAGAAACACGAAATAGGGAACAGGGAAAAGAAAAAACGTCTAGCCCAGCAATTGCCTCCTGTCATAGCCCCCAGATGTCTTCCGACAGCTTAGTACGCGAAAAGGAGGCCTCATAGCCAACCCTGCCAACCGCCGCATGAACTGCGATTGCAGTAGCACCATAGGCTCTTCATGGCGCCCTCGAAAACACCTGACGTATTGCTGAGTGCTTTGAGGATGGCCTGAGGGACCCGTACCTCCGCACTGTACGACAGTACGGACCGCACTTGCACGTCGAAACAACGTAGCTGGACACTAGGTGTCCACAGTTCTATGACGTCCAACTTGCTTAGAAGTGCTAACGTAGCTTCACGTCCAGCGTCCAGTAATTCAGTGCGACATGAAACGAATTTCCGGTCAGGGCCGTAGTTAATACCCATGTACTGAGCATGGGGACAGGTTTCCCATGGCACCAAGCTATTCCCGGGCATGCTTTCGTGTAGCAGGGTTTCGATGGAAGACCATTAGCTCACGATTGGGCATACCAAAAGCTGCCTTGCATACCGTAACTCATCTAGTAAACCCAACAAGAGTATTAAACGGTGGGGGTGGGGGTGGGGGTGTTGTCGCTAGGCCGGATCAGAAGGTGCGGGTTTTGGTCCGTAAGTCCAGCCCTTGCGTTACCATACCTGTGCCCGATCGCCGCGCAGCAAGACTTTTAGGGAGTATTTTTTTCCTAAAACGTTTCTAACGCGCACCCTGTAAGGAATTAATTTCACTAACGCAGACGTCTTAAGCATTTCTAATTCGCGCAGCCTTAGGAATAGTATCCTAACGGCCTCGAGATTAAGTGACGTACATCCAACAGCATAGCAGTGGAAGCAAAAGCTTACAGTTACGGGTGAAATCAGACGAGAAGCCCCAGGGGGTGGGAAAAAGAGCGAAACCTGTTGTTTGGGGGTGGGACAGGAGGCCGCAATTTCTTTCCTAAAGCGCAGCCCTTCAGCAAGTGTGTTTTCATCAACGCGCAGGCCCCGGAATCGCGTATTCTTTTTGGTTGATAATCACTGGTACGGTACATTCAGCCACGTAATTCACGTAAAAACTTCAATAAGCAAACCGAAAAGATCGGCTCTGAGCGGGCAGCCTTGCTTGACTCCCTCCGTGGAGGGAGAAGGGTCGCTCAGTTGGCTCCTATCTTAAACCTAATCGAAACGCGCTTGTAACACTTCTACATACAGCCTAGCATGGGCCTGTGTGTGCCTCGCTCCTCTCGCCTAGCCCAGAGTACTTGAAGAGAGGCAATGTCAAATGCTTTCTCAAAGTCGATCTGGCACACTACTAGCTAGGGCACACGACGCCCACTACGTGTGCGCCTGTCAGTGGAACGACGCAGGTTGAATATTATGCTCTATGCTGGCCCCCTTCATTATGCGACGACTCTAGGTTTATAGTAAAGCATTATGCAATGGCATGACTAATGGCGGTGTCGTTCTACTTTGTCGGCCAGTCCATGAAACCTTTCCCATGGGTCGCTTAGCAGTGCACCAGGTCCGTGGCCGCGAGGGTCAGGTTGCGCACGGAAATAAACATGTGTGTGCGTTTGGGCAATCTGGCACATGCCGGGGGCGAAGGCCGTTGGCCCAGAAAGGTTGGGCCAGGCCCTTTCCAGAGTTGCTGGTAGTTACCCCTTACCCGCCCACCGGTTGTCCGTCCTGAGCCCCTCCGAGATCGTAATACCAATAGGCCTTTTCTGTCATGACGGTACCAGTCTTCGTATAGCTGTACCCGGGGTTCACGCTTTGCACAGCCATATAAAGCGGGAGTGAATTGCCACCATGGCTATGACACGCGTTCACTTCTCGGCGTGTTTTACACCCAATTAACACCGCAGCTTTCCTAAAATAGCCAAGCGCCTAGACGTTTGCACTAGGCAGCGGATGCTCGCTGGCCTTTAGAGTTTCTAAGCCTTGCAAGCAACGACCTTCGTACATCTTCTCCAGTTCCAGCCAAATGAACCGGGGCGCAGGCGATAGAAGCACGTGTCGTCACCATGACCAGCACTCGCAATGCCCCCGTGTAAGCCATGCTGTCCCAACTTGGGGTTCGGGATTTTTCCAACGCTAGCCGTGCCTTTCGCAGTCCTGACATCTACGCTCACGCGACCTCCCTGCATATTATCTGTGCCCCACAGCAGTCGCCTGCAACAAGCACATCCCCGCATCCAAAGCGCTTGCAAGCGTTGATCCTCATCGCCTGCCTGGTGCTGGTTTCGGGAACAACGCCTACGGCTGCGGATGGGGGCAGCAGCCACTCCCACTCCTGGCATCGCTCTCACACACGCAAGCCGCCTTCTAAAGGATACACCATGGTTAGGCATACACGGCCAATGGAGGGCCACAAAGCTCCTGACAGCAGCAGTGTTGGAGAATCGGCGCTGCCACCCTCACCCCGGCCGCCCTCACCTCTGCCGCCCTTGCCCCATCCGCCATCCCCGCTGCCGCCATCACCCCGGCCGCCCTCGCTCAAGTCGCCCTCACCTCTTCCGCCATCGCCCAAGCCACCTTCACCCCTGCCGCCTTCTCCACAGCCGCCCTCACCAAAGCCACCGTCACCCCGGCCGCCCTCACCTCTGCCGCCCTCGCCAAAGCCCTCTCCTCATCGGCGGCCGCCATCCCCGCTGCTGCCTTCGCCAAGACCACCCTCTAGTCCCTCTCCCCTACCACCCTCATCCCTGCCGCCTTCTCCACCGCTACCCTTGCCCAAGCCGCCATCCCCCAAGCCTCCAACGCCCAAGCTGCACGCACCCCTACCGCCCTCGCCCATGCCCGCTTTCCGTGAAGCAGCCACCCCAGCAGCAGCCAGCTCACCACCACCCAGCCCCGCACTCTCCTCAGCGGCTCCTCCTCCTTCTCCCTCTCCTCCTGCTGCTGCTGCTTCCACGGGGACCTATGGCTTCCGTACTCTCCCCTTCACCTCGCCCGTCACCGCCGCGCTGCTGGTGGTGGTGCCGCTGACGGACACCTACCTGGGCGCGCAGATCAACAGGGGGCCCAGCGTCAAGAACACAACCGTGCTGCTGGACCTGGTTGCGAACAAGGTAAGCAGTGAGTGTGGCATGGCTGCACAGTTATCGCTATTACGCACTGTGTGATAGCGGTATAGGCAAGGGTTTAAGGAACACAGTTCTGCTGCTACTGGACCTAGGGCAGACACCGGAGTGTGAGTGTACGGTACAGCTGCAGGCTACGATCACGCGCCCATACTGTTGTAGCGATACCTCTCTTTCAAACCCTGTTGAAGGTATAATGCCACCCCTTCACTGCTCGGTTGCTGCAGGCCACTTCCATGCCCTCCCTCGTCAACTCCTTCTGCGGTGCGCCCGTCCTCATGCCGGATGGCGACATCCTGCTGGTGGGAGGGCACTACGGCGAAAAGAAGAACAAATTACTGGACGGCAGGAACCAGCTGCAGGTGCGTGGACAAGGTTTTTGGACACGGTTTTAAGTTCGCGGTTAGCCACGTATTACTACCGGCATTGCATTCTGTGGTACGGCTGCCGTGGATCGCCGTACGGAGGTTGCATGCCCTCTGACGCACCCTTTGTCGCCGGTAATTGACCTGCCTGCAGGTGTTCAACAGGACCACGATGAAGTTCTCGGTGCTGCCGCCCATGAAGTGGAACCGCTGGTACCCTACCGTGGCGTCCTTGCCGGATGGGAAGGTACGGCTCGGGCTCGGGCTGCCCTTTCTGGGCTCGGGCTGCCCTTTCTGGGCTCGGGCTGCCTGTACTGCCTGCTGAACGTTGTCGGATTAAATTGGGGCTATAGCTATTGATAATGCTACTGAGTACGCAGAGGGCGCTGCTTACTGGCTTATGACACACGGGTCGTCTCAGATAAGGCTTCCCCCCTTTCCCTGGCGCTCCGTATCGCAGGTGGCTATTGTAGGTGGTACGACAAAGCCGAATGCCGGCAAGGTGCCATCCTTCAGCGAGATCTTCGACCCGAGGAATCCCAACGGGACAGAGATGCTCAGTAACCCTCAGAACTTTGTGGATTATGCCGGCATGCAGTGGTATCCCTTCATCCACACGCTACCTCGAGGTGAGCCTGGATTAGCCGGGGGTTACCCTGAATTGGCAAATCCCAAAGGTTCTGAATTATATTATGCCGTTGTTGTTACAAGGGTCCGTAAGGCCCAGTAGATCATTGGTAAAAATACATGGAAGACTAGCATGGCCCCTGCGCAAGGATAGGAGGTTTATCCTATTCCGTCAGACAGTAGACTAGGCGATGGCATTCCCCACGCCGGATTGTTACTTAACTATTTCCTGACGACGATTAGTTGCCAGGGGAATTGTCTGGGCATGCTTGGGATTAAACATAAGCTCTGGCCCGTGGGTCACAGCACAAGGGAAGGCCATTTCCACGTTGCTGACTGTTTATATGTTCTCCCATATTTTCCCATAGAACCATTGCGATAAATCTGCATGCTGTTCGCGCAATTGCGGGTTGGACCTTTATATACAAGTATTTTGACATTTATCCGTTACTGTTACCCGCAGGTCATCTGCTTTGGTGGGGTGATCGTGGCGGAAGCATCACTCTGGGAGAGAAGAAGCTGGTAGACCTGCCAACTCTTCCAGAAAACGTCACGTGAGCAGTCATCCAATTGGTCCTCTGTCACCGTTGCTACTCATTAACTACTGCTCATAGCGTCGTCACACGGCTGCACGTATTGAATGCGGGTTGTTAGCAACGTGTCATGCTGCTGGCATGCCATTATTTATCTGTTCGCAATTGCTTCCAGGCACCACACCATGTACCCCGCAACTGCCACCATCCTGCTGCTGGCTTACGGCCCCGAGGACGCCTACACATCCAAGATGGTCATCTTCGGAGGAGGGGTGGGTGCTGCGCTTTCCTTGATGCGGTACACAGGTTACATTTTTGTATGTCTTGCAGTTATACACTTCGGCACCTTCTGTTACTTGTGTTTCCACTTGTATACAAAGCCAAAGCCTTTTATGCAACCCATGCAGCTGACATTTAGCAGCCGTACTACTACCCGTTCCACATTTGTTCTAGATGTGGTACTCATGCATTTATGAGGACGCAGCTAGCTGTCGCACAACTCCGGTTGATTATTGTAATTACATAGCTTCACATGTCTTTATACATATTTCCGGCTACCCCTCCACCCCCCCTGCATGCGTGCAGCCGGTGTACGACACCCGCAGCCCCAACATCAGCACGCTGGCCTCCTCCGCCGCCCTGCGACTGGACCTGCGCGAGTGTAACACCAGCGCCAGTGGATACTGCACCCCAGGGTGAGTTGGGTGAAATGCAGGCATGGGTCCTGACGTAAGTAGGCTGGAGGATCTGCTTAGGCTCTGATGAATACACGGCTCGGAGGATGGTTGCTACTGTTGCTCTTTAACGCAACTTTATGTTGCATATGGAACATGCAAAATGGGTTGGGGTCGGAAGGAGTTCTAGGAGAAATACGGCGGCCCGCCGTTGCCTGGGATACGGCAAGCTGGTAAAAAGTATCAATTCCTTTGTAGCCTGTTCGCTGCAAAGTGCATTGCCTTGAGTTAGGATAAATGGTTGCGCATTTGCGTTAACACCTGTGTGATGTGGCCTTGTATATTCATATGCAGGTGGGTCGAGGAGGACATGTTGGGCATTCCACGCATCATGGCAGATGCCGTACTGCTGCCCAACGGAAAGGTCGTCATCGTTAATGGTGCACATGTAAGTCGTCTGGGCCAATATGCAGTCCCATGGGTCGGAGGCTTGCAATCAGCTCAAAATGGGATGTACAGGCCTAAAGTTCATCCGTCACGTCGCTGTTAGCAATAGACTTTGTAGTATGCAATACGGTATGTTGCACGAGGACTTCATCGTAACATCGCACGTGCAAGGAATAGCAAAGGCCGGCGGCATCGGCGCAAAGGCATGCGTGGGCCCCGAGTCGATGCAAGCATGGTCCCGCCGACTTTCCCAGGTAGCCAATTGGCAGCACGCCGCTGTTTCAATTCATAATTTTTTTACGGTGCCGGGTAAACATCATAGAGGAGCGGTAGTCAATGTAGCCGTGGTGGTCCTTCTCAAGGGCTGGTCAAGAAACCGTTTGCTGAGAGATATTTTCCGTTGGATTTGCAATTAAACGATACAACCTGTTTGTCCGTAAACGATACAACCTGTTTGTTATTTGTTCGAATAAATTTTCTATGTATATACTTTGCCGTTTCACACGGACGGACACATGGACACACGCTCCATGCAACGATACGTGATCGTGTAGAGTCAATAAGTAAGGTGTGAAAGGGCCACTGACTCCCTTATGTCCGCCTTCACGGGACACACGCACAGAACAGAACAGAGCGCCCAGTAGCGGGCTGTACGGCATGTACGATTCTCAGCGGGGTAACCGCCCTAACCGATTACATTAATTTATAGAGAATGGCATACGTAACGCGTCACGTTACACTCCACGGCGGGGAATCCGCACCGAAAATGGGCATTGGATTGCTTACGCTCTGTGACCCCTTTCCTGATTCGCAGAATGGCCGGGCCGGTTGGGTGACTGGGAGCTACGACAGCGGCTCCGGAGCCTCTCGCCCCGCCAACCAAGCCCTCATATACGACCCGGCTAAACCGCTCGGCAAACGTTTCAGCCGGCTGGCGTTCAACCCCATCCCCCGCATGTACCACTCCACCGCCTGCCTGCACCGTACGGGAGAGATCCTGATTGCTGGGTGCGATGCGTGCGGCAACATAACCGGCCTGGTGGGTGAAAAACTAAATGAGGAGTGAGGCAACTGTGGGTGAGGGTGGTGTCGGTAATGGGGTGTAAACCCGGTTTGCTGCAATCTTTTCTGTGGCCAAAGAACTCGTTCAGTGCAGGATGGGGCGCGGCTGCTGCTAAGCGTTGTTTCATTCCACGGTCGGAACGAACTGCCACAGCGAAACCTTGATCTTAGCAGTTGCGTTGCCATCTAGCATGATGCCGTTCGTCCCCTCTTTGGCGCCACTGGATATTCCGCTTCTATAGGCACGCTTTGCAGGCCCGTCCATGCGCCGGCGCTGCGTTGGCTTCCATCCTCACGCAAACACGAAATTGATGAGAGCGCCCTACCTACGCAATAATGGTTCCTTCCTCGCTCCCCATGCAGACCAAAATGATGTCACCCAACCCTGACCCGGGCTACCAAGAGGCGCGGCTGCAGCTGCTCGCCCCCAAGTACATCGCAGTTGGTGTTGTACGGCCAGTGATCAAGCAGAAGCCCGCTCGTATCCGTTTGGGAATGTGAGTACCGGTAATTGACATGCATGTATGGGGAGAAGCGGCAAAGGCTTACGGAAATGCTTTATAGACCTCATATTAAAACGTGGGCCCCAGAAACACAATGGTAATTGTGTAGTCTTGTCGTACTAATATTCCGGAGGTAAGCGGATTTTTCACGCCCATCCAAACCAATATCATGTCTTTTGCACCGACCACAACTCTGCTTTTCGGTAGCACCCTGCTTGCAAGCAGCTGTACGAGCTGTTTAGGAAAACATTAAACTGTGACACTACGGTCAAATGCTTTTCATAATATGTGTAGACCGAAACCGTGGCGCCCCCGACGCATGCCAGTCTAAACACTTGCCGCCCGCTCCACCCACACCTCAGGCCCTTCACCGTTGACTACACCTACCCTGCGGGCGACATCACGGGCGCGGCGCTCGTGTCGCCATGCGCCCGCACGCACTCCATCGGCATGAACAACCGAGTCATCAAGCTGCAGGTGCGGGGGGGGGATCCATGGACCAAAGCAGCTAGAGTTTACGTTGCTTTGCTGCTGAGAGAGGTGCGTACCATCATTAATATCCGTTTACATAATGTGTACCGTGCCTCCCTGTGATCATCGCACAAGAGTATAACTGTTAAAAAGATTGTGCAATAACGCACAAAAAGGGCCTGCGCGTTAAGGAAGAATTTGCGTGGCTTCCTGTGCCAACCCCAAAACAACGGATTTCACACATGTTCCGATCCCCCTGGGTTACCCCTCCTCCAAGTCCACCCATAGATTTAAGCTTTTGCCTCCACCGCTGTGCTTTGGATTTGGTCGTCAATTGGTCTCGAGGCACTTAGGATACAAAAATGTAGACAATTGAGCGGACCCCTGCGCGAAACGAAAGGAAATAATCCCTAAATTCCTGTCGGCGGTGATCAGGCACAGATACGGTAGTAGGCGGCTTAGGGGTTTGGGCTACATGTTTATGGTCAAGCCTTACCCGGTCCAGCAAACACAACTTATTTGTTCCCGCTTTGCCCTTTATCCCTGCGCATAACCGTACCGTGACTAAACTACGCTTTGCCTCGTTACGTAAGCCCCTGTACAAGTTTTGCTATGTCCCTTTCCTTTTTTGTTTCCGCCTGCCGCAGATCTCAAGCGGCGCTGCTGGCGGCCGTGTGGCGCTGCTGGCTCCCCCCGCCAGCCTGCCCGGCCTGGCCCCCCCGGGCTACTACCTGCTGTTCCTGCTGGGCCAGAAGGACACCTACAGCGAGGGGGCGTGGGTGAAGCTGGAGGCATAATGGCACAGCGGTTGGCCCGCGCTCCTTGCTTCGAGTCCCTCAGTGCGGATTAGTACATCCACCACTGGCATTGCCTGTTGGGTTTGCACACAGTCCATGGCCATTTAGTAGTTTCGTCTTTATTTTGGCCGGTTCAGGCCGGCTTGCCTCTTTTGCCCGCTGGCTACAATTGTGTTAATAGTAGTTACATATCAATTTACAGTGTAAAATTTGATGCATGCTGGTGTCGATGGTACGAGGTAGCCTTAACTTTGCATCATCAATGCATGCTTACTATGCGTCGGGCAATCGTGGGAGTAGGGTAATATTGAGTCTGTGCTCTACATTTTGGGTTTGATCCCGGTGAGAGTCGGACACAGAGTGAAGCTGTTCGAAGGTAGCCCCGGAGATTCAGTACTTGGAATTTTATTTTTAGCAAATAACAGGCAGGTTGAGCTATGTGCATGCACATATGTTTATGGCATTCTGTTATTACATGTCCAAGAGGTTCGCCAAAAAATGTAACGTACCGGTAGACTGTTTACAGATCAGCGCAAGCCATAGCAAAAAACAGCAACAATACCTAAACTCTGGGAACGGACAGCTTTCAATTTCATTCTGCATTCACTTTGCATTCAATTTAACCCCTTCATTCCCAATCATTCCGACCCTCCATTTTCAAGATGAGGAGCAAAATCATTTCGTAATAAAGGCCCTTCGTTACAAAATAAAGGGTCCAAGTGAAGGCTGCTTCATTGCCACAGTTCCAATGCCCTTCGTACCAAACCGAAGCCCATCGGCCCATAACGAACGCTCCTAGCCCATCTTGTGAAATGAGGCCCCTTAGGACGATAGCACTTCCTGCAGGCGCGCTTACCCTGCCTGATACACCTTTTGCCCCACCCTTCAGTAACAGCACAGATGCAACAACTCGTGACAATTGCAAACATCAGCCATGCCCATTGTTTTCTGAGCTGCATGAGTATACCCGGTAACGTTGCATCATTGCTGTTTGGTTTAGACTGATGCCTTCACAACTCACTCGCTTGAGGGTGGTCAGCTGGTAACTAAGGGAGGCTGCTGGGCAGCAACCGCAGGCACACGGGCAGCCGCTGAAACACCAGCCACAAGGATAAAGAGCACAGACCACTGTGGGAGGGGCAGGCACCAGCAGGGCAGGCCCGACAGTGACAAGGGATTGGCTGGGGCATCAGCCAGCACACACCAGAGAAGTAGGAGCCGTTGCTTGCACCACAGGAATTGCACAGGGAGCAGCAGCGAATGCAGGGGTAGGGGATAACAGCCAGCGCATGTGCTGAAGAAGCAGAAGCACAGGCTGGGGCAGGTGCTGCAGTGCATGGGGATAGGCGCATACTGCAAGCTCGGCCTCCAAGCTCCAGTCGGCAGTTTTTACCAGCTACCAGCCACTGGGACAGAGCCCAAGGTGCAGGAGAGGCTGAGAATGCTACGAAGAGGGACACGCTGTACAGGAATCGCAACACCTTCGCTTGATGTACCAGCGGTATGTGGGAGAATCGGTTGCGTCCAAGATAAATAGGTAATGGCGTTGAGAAACACCATTTCAGCATAGGGAACGATTCCTGGGCTGCATGCCCAGAACACTCAACGCTGGCAGTTCACCGCTACCGACCAGATACCGGCCCACCTGGATGTCTGCATGTTCGTCGGGCCAGAGGGTGCAGGGACCACCAACAAGGCATGTGACCAGTCAGATGCGTGCCCTTTTGGGCCCCAAGCCATCCCCACTTCAGCCCAACATGGCGATCCCTGAGAGGTGAGAGCCGTAGGCTCCTAACCCTAAGCAGTGAGCAGGCATTGGTGCAGCTGCAGGGAACACGCTGTCACCCTTGCTGGCGCCATGGTGTGTATACACTGACAGCTGCTGCCCACGTGGCGCTAAGTTCCTCGCACTGCTAAAGCACTATAGATGCACCCATTACCGTTTTACATTTATCCCGCCCCGCCGCAACTGTTACCTGGCAGAGAAAGGCTCGTCGGTGTATGCGGTAAAACGAGATGGAAAGCCAGGGCTCCCGCATACCGGTAGTACACTATGTTACTTGTCTGTTGCGCATTGGCTGACCAAAACAGCTTTTGCTTGCTGTAAAGATTGCGTTGAAAGCGCTATGTAGATACAGAACGTAAACCGTAGGCAAGGAAGGCAGTAAGGCTACGGTAATATAATATGGTTTGAGACACTAAAAGGTGGTGAATGAAGCAAACGTACAAATATTTTACCCATCTTGTCGTATCATATGCTTGGAATCACAGCACGCTCTATGAGGCCCTGTACGACTTCAGACTCGCGACGGGGGTAGGGGCTGTACCGGCACCGATGCAGTTTGGTCACTGTGTGAGATCGTAAAGTCTAGGGGCAAGCTTTTTAAACCTATCTTATTATAGCGCTGCCAAACCTTGATCTCCGTAGCTTGTTGCCAGCCATGAAGCTTTCCGTCAAGCCTTTCCAACAAACGGTAAATTAGGAACACCAGTTTTTTGCTTAATGCCAGCACAAACACGTCGTATTTGCTTGATGCAGAAAGGGATCGCGCACCGCAAGCGCTGCATGCACGTGGTGTGCAAGGCTCAACAAACTGCCAGGTGTGCTATGAAAACGTCATACTTATAGCATACAGCTGTTTGGAGTTTGGTATTCTTGAGACTGCTGAGGTAAACTTGCAGTGAATGATGTATCATCGTGCAAGTTAGCAACATTCTCTGCAATTAACCTCACAAATTGCGAGCATTCAAGGAGAGTGCATACTTTGCTAGCCCAGTTCCGTATTGTGCATGACATCTACCTACCAATGCCCCTTTCCAATGCACCCAACCCCCCAGCAGGCCGCCCCACCCTCTGATCATGGACGCGGTGGAGGCGCTGTTCCGCTTCCCGCCGTTCTTCAATGCCGCCGCCAAGAATGTGCGTCCCACCTCGTCTACATCACTTAAGCGTTCTCACAAAACTAACCTTTACCACTGCCTTAGTCGAGCTCCCCCACATGCATGTATGCGAACCCAAGCGTCCGCCCTAGCTCCCAGCCCTCCTCCTCCAAAAGTCTCGCTACTAACTCCTCCCCGGCTGCTCGCCCAACCGCTCACCTCTCAGGCCCGCAACATGATCATCAAGCGTGCTTATGCCATGGGTATCGACTGGAATGGCACCATTCAGGAGATGAAGGCGCAGGACTGGGAGGCACGGCTGCAGGTAGGGCAGGACGCGGATGCTGTGTGCCGGGAGGGCGGGGTGCATTGCCGTCTTTTGGGGATAGCTGCTTTCTGTGCAGCGCAAGCATGGCCGTGGCAAGGACTGCTAAGGTGCAAGCCGCGGCACGGTTTCACTGGAGGCGCAGCTATAACCGTCCTATCAATTACATTCTTTACATCCGTACGAGCCAGGGGGGCCAAGGACACTGTGAGAAACACAGTTAGTCCGAGTCAGGCTCCACTACGTGCCGCCGCTTAGTGGCTCCTGACAGACAAGCGGGGTCTCGGGAGGGGCAGCGATCACGATCTCCCTCATGGACCTACTGTTAAGGGAACCCCCGTGGACGCAACGTAGTTCATCGTAGCACGGTCATCCAATACACGTATGCATCTCATTACAAATGGTATTTATCCTCATGATTGCAATACCTGCAAACCGCTCAGACCTAGGGCGGTTCCCGTGCAAATAAGTCATACACCCCGGGAACCCTCCAATATCCCAGCTGCATGCAGCCGACTGGCCCTCTCACGCAACCCTGGCCCCAGCGTTTATGGAATGCGAAAACCTTGTGGCACCCTGCCGCCTCATATCCCCGATGTTTTACCCTTACCTGTGGCTTCCTAAGTTTGATATATGTCGGAGTCTCTCCAACCCCTTTCCTCCTCCAACCCCTTTCCCTTCTGTCCAACTATGTGCACGCACCACCACAGTGCGTTCCTCCTCTCGTCCATTTTCCTTACCACCGCGCTTTCGCGGGCTCCCCCACCCCTCCTTTTGCTCCGTTTGATTCTTGTAGGCGGTGCAGAACCCCTCCGTCACCTACCCCTCCTACTACACACAGCCCTTCCACGCGTACAGCCAGGTGAGGGCAGTAAGGAAACTAGGTGAGGAGTGTGGAGGAGACAGGGCCCAGGCCAGAGCGGGGCTGGCGGATTCACCGTCTTTCACTAGGAACACGATTGGCGCTTAATTCTGTGTTGCCAAAACCAAAGTGGATTGACCGAATGGTGAAAGTGCCTAAAGCGCAGAGAACGAAATCCGGCTTTTGCACAAGGGTAGGCATAGTGGCCAGGTGTAATGGGTTGCAATAACTTTTAAGATGCCATATTTGTGCGCTTGAACGTTGGACCGGCCTTTGGCCAATGGTGGATTACCGTGCGAAGTTACTTCAAGTTTTGACTGGGCCTGTCCACACAGGCGCCTCTTTGAAGTCGTACAAGGAATCCTTCTGAACCTCTTAACCCCGCTTTGTTGCAAATTCATGCGCCGATGCTCGGGTCCAATGAAAGGTAGTGGAAATCGGTTCGGAAGAATCACGCTCGCCCTTAAACCCCCTCCCACTCACTCTGGACAACAGCTAGAAATGGATGTCGCGACTGGCTCATGAACCCACAGTTAACAACTACCCCAAAGGAGGAGGACCTGCCGTCGTCACATATTTAATCGATGACCCATAAGTCGATTTCAATAAGCCATACAACCAGGGGGGGGGGTAGGAAACGCGAGGACAGACCCCATGATTCAAAGTTAAAGAGCTTATGGAGAGCATTCCAAATCTGCTTTCAGAATTTTAATTGGACTTGTACGGAAAAAGTTATCTGCGCCCAAAGGTGACTGTACGGCAGGGTGGGTGGGTGGGGTCTGGGGGTCCAGTGGGTTTTTTCCGAGGGCTTCCTAACTTTTTCCTGGCGCTGCGGAACTCACTATGAGGTATACTTATACGATAAACATACTGTAAGCAGTCTATAAACGCATTTTTGCCTCTTCCTGATTAGGTTTGGGCATGGCATGATGACATTACCACGCGTGGGTGGTCAGAGAGATACCAAAACACGTATGGGTCGGTTGGGGGCAGGCAGGGTGCGGGTCCGGGTGCCTCCACTTAGGGGGGAATCACCCGCAGGTGGTCTGCCCAGCCAAGCAGAAGGGGGCCGGGAAGTTAACCATGTGACACGGCTCCCCTATGTCGCTATGTGCTGCATCTCTGGGGTGGGGTTGAGGGGAGTAGTACGGGGCAGGTCTCTCGTCAGCAGCTGCGTCACCTGTGCCAGCCGCTGCATGTTGTCTGAGCCCTGCTAATCCTGGCTGGTAATTCCGGTCTTGACGCAGTAGTGCGTGTGTATGAGGCTAGTGTACAACGGTGCACCCGTTGCTGTCTATAGGGTTGGATGGCGTGACCATGGAATGGCGCAACCATGGCATGACTTAGTAGGTGCAAAAGCTCAACAAGTTGTATGTACAGAAAGAGGACACTGAAAGGAATCCATTGGTCTTTTTGCGTCTTTTTTGGCGTACGGCTATATGAGAAAATAGCGTTCGAAGTTCTGTAGGGTGGGTGGGTGGGTCCGGGAGGGGTCGCCACCAAAAAATCATCATGGGGTTTACCAAAAAAAAATGTACCCCCCCCTGATACAACCTCCTATTAACGCAAATACAACCAGCCTAGTAACGGCTGGTTCCAGCTGGTGAGGTATGGCTGGCAATTGCCCCGGAGGGGGAGGGGAACCCTCCCCCTTACAAGTGTCAGTTCGTCACCCCAGCCCACTTCGCGTGGCGCTTATGAGTAGTACACAAATCTCCTGGTGGCAAAGCAGGACAAGGCCAGCGGCAGGACTTGTCATTTCGCGGCCCGTGGGTCCGGCCTTTGGCTGCGTGAATGTGGAGGGTTCCCCTCCCCCTTCGACCCCCTCTCATCAAGGTCTGTTACGAAATGCACTTCCTGCTCTAGGGTAGCAGGCCAGGGGCTAAGTTGGGCATTATGGGTCTCGGTGCAGAGTTGGGTGCAAGTTCACCAACAGGCTTTCCTTTTCCGGCAATTTTGCTTCATGTGATTGGCTCTTCCTACCCTCCTACCAGGTGGGGTGGGATAGGCCGAATCCAATGTAGCAACCCAAATGATTAAGCCTCATCATATATCTCGCCAGCTTCCTCTTCTTACCTCCCCCAAGCACCCCGTCGGGGCATGGGACTGGAAATCCAGTGCCTCATTTCTAGTTGCCGCCCGCGTACAGGGCAACCTGTGCTGGGACGCGGCCCTCGAGCTGACTCTCGCCGCCCAGTCGGTGCACGCCATCGTGATGGACCCCAGGGGCAAGGAGCTTGACCCGCAGTGAGTGGGCGGGAGGGGCAGGGGAGGGTTGGAATGAGGAAGCTGGGAGGGTGAGGAGAACAGGCGGGAATAGAGAACCGCAGATCCTGCTCAGCAGCGTGGTGGTGCTGTGTGGCCCTGCTGACTGTGATGCTAGATGCGGTGTTTTTAGCTCCAATCACCTCCCTGTCCGTTTCTTTGCGTCCACTGCTCACCCTCTCTTTCAGGGGCGACGCCAAGCTGCGCAGCGGCTACTCCGCTCGGCTGAAGGAGTGTCTGGCTGAGCTGGGGGTGGCGGAGGAGGGCATCCGCAGCATACTGGACCTGGGGTGCGTGGGAGGGGAAGGCTCGGGGTGGGGCTTGTAAGTGGTTCTGGAAGCACATGGTTGCTCCTGGCAAAGGGATGCCGCCTCCCAATCCCCTCCCCAGCCCATCCCTCTCTCTTGCTTGTATCGCAGCCCCGTGTACCTAATCCCTCATGTACGTCCCTCCCACCAACAGCTGCGCAACGGGCCTCTCCTCGCGCGAGCTCATGCGCGTCTTCCCCGGCGCCGCAGTGACGGGGCTGGACCTGTCGCCGCACTTCATCGCGGTGGGGCGCTACGAGGCGGACCAGCGAGCGGTGAGGGGGAGAGTTAGGCTGCAGGAGAAAGTGATTTACATGGGTTGGCTCAAAAACGAGGCGGGAATGTCAAGACGGTTACCAAAAGAAGAAAGCAGGCAAAAGAAGAAGCATGACGGGAATCTATGCATTGCTGATCGGCTGGAGCTACGGGACATAAGGCTGCTCGCGCCTTGTTCCGCCACCCTCCGCCGCACGCAGGCTGCCAATGGCGGTATGGCCGAGCCTCTCACGCTGCTGCACGGCCTCGCGGAGTCCACAGGTCTCCCCTCGGACAGCCAGGACCTGGTGTCGCTCTGCCTGGTGTGCCACGAGTTGCCGCACAACCCCACCAGGGACATCATGCGGGAGGCGTTTCGGGTGCTGCGCCCCGGTAAGGAGGGAGAAGCAGGGCCCATACCCGGCATGCATGCACCTTTGCCTCCTTCTGGCCCTGTTAATATTCCTCAACTGCTGCTGCCCCCCTGCTTCCGGCTGTAGGCGGCGTGCTGGCTGTGATGGACATGAACCCCGCCTCGCCCATCTTTCAGCGCATCTTCAACAACCCCATCGTCTTCACCGCCTTCAAGTCCACCGAACCCTGGCTGGCGGTGCGTTGGGAGAGAAGGGGGATAGGAACGGTGCGCGGGGAGAAGGGTGAAGAAAATGCAAGCCAGCAGCTGCTATCGCCATTGGGGTTGCTCGTGGATGTCCTCCGAACACATTCGCTAAAACCTTTTAAGCAGATTTATCACTGCGACTGGTGCTTCGTCTCTTGCTTGAGCTTTGTCGACTATACCCCCTTCTGCTGCTGGGTGTGTCAAGAACGAGATCTGGTTGTTTTAAGCTTTCTCTGCTGCTGGCTTCATTTCCAGCTTGCTGCTTGCTCGTTTTTTCCTTGGGGTTGCTCTCCAGGCGTTCCTAGGCCTAGGGCTTTCCTTTTGGGGACAGGTCCCCTTTTGCATTGGGATGTTTCCATTTTTCCTGCAGTGTAGGGCTGGATGTCGCCCGTTGTCCCCTGCCTTCGGGTTTGGGATCACTGTAATGGTCGCTTACTCATATATCGCAACCGAACCAAACCGTTTGTTGCCGTTCCCAAGACCATGACGCACATATAAAACTCGTATCCGTTTTCGGTTAGGAGTATGATCCCTAGCTGTGCACCGGCCAGGAAAATGGACAAAATTGTTTACCGCGCAGTCAACGTTTTTGTGCCGCCTGCAGAAGCGGTGGATGTAGAGATGAACTACATGTTTTAACTAAGAGTCCTGTCCTTGATTTGGTTGTACTGAAGCACGGTTTGAGACATCTCGGGGCTAAGGCAGGTGGCACTTGCTATCTAGCTTTACGTTCCCCGTTTTTCTACTCAGGGGGGCATACATTTTTTGTCAAACCCTCGTGCCGAAAAGGTCGAAAAGGGGTGCCGGACCCACCCATCCACCCTGTCGTACCGTTTTTGCTGTACGTCAACGCTGTAAACCTCGCCAAGAACGCTCCAAAAGGGCACCATTCATTTTCCAGTTTGAAGTCTATACTATCCTCTCAATAGGTACATCAAATTGCAACCTATGAGTCGCTTGTCACACGGGGCTGCCAGGCTGCCAGGATCACTGCTCTCTGGGCCGACGCATCTCGCCCCAACGCTCAGTGAACTTATTGAAGGCATGAAATGCTAGAATGGCCAATTGCACAATTGCGTGGATTCATGTGCTCCAACCCACCTGCCACTGCATCCCTCACGTGGCCCGGTCACGGGTTAGGCTGCGCCCCCTGTCCCAGGTAGCAGGTTGGGTTTGCAATCCACCGCCCTCAGCACCTAATGCAGAACCACGCACGCTACCCCCTGCCCCGGCGTGGGGGTTTCGTGCCTCCTCCCTCAGAAGCCTGTGTGTCGTCAGCACGCCCGCCACGTGCCCTCCCATTTCCGCCTTGCCCTAACTTGCTGTCTCACTTCGTTTGGTTTCTCCCTTGGGCCCCCTTCCGCTTGCTTTGCCTCTTGCCCCTCGACTACCCCTGCGCCATGAGTAAACAAAGAGCGTAACCACACATATGGGGTGGGGATGCAGTGCACAGCATGTAGCAGGTGTGGGAAGCGGCGCCAGGTGCAGTGGTCGAGGGCGCGGCCTGACAAGAGAAGGGGGGGAAGGGGCCGGAGCCTGGGGCATTGTTGCACCGCCGTGTTTTGACACTAAATGATGTGCGCATCTTCCCAGGGGGATCGGGGTTTTTATGTTGCACGTAATTGCGCAGTGATAAAGCCTGCGCAGAGGAGCCTGACAGCTTTTTTCCCGGGCACTTGACTTGGCGATTTACAGGTTGTACGACATGTTTGCGGGTGGGTAGTTGGTTTTGAGGCCTTCTCAAACAAACGGTTGCTTGACCAGCCATTGACAACGACCGACGTGGCCATACCGAATACCGCTTCAATCTGACGTAACTTATGTATAGTTGCGTGGAACAGCAAGGTGTTGGATACGACATGTGAAATTCAGCGGGACCATGCTTGCATATACTGAGAGCTCGCGCATCTGTGAACTATTGCCACCGATTGGGTAGTCCGTTGCATGTCGTGATTCTTTGTAGCCGCACAGACAACGCGCACCAAGTGGATGAAATGAATACGACATTACATTATGCACGTCGCTGTCAATGCGACATGCCTGTCAGCCTCAATTGTTCAAGGGCGTGTCAGTTCCTCATGTCATGAAACTATCACAACGTACGGTTGCTTCAAACAACGATGTCACGTTCCTTAGTAAGGGATGTCAGCTTTCCAAGCAAGGGGTATTCACTTTGTAGACATAGCTCAAGGGCTGCGTGCCAACACCGCTGGTGCCATGGGGTCACATGTGCGCATGCCGCGTCATTCTAGTGGTCATCATACGTTCCTACCCGCATCAAGGGGCTCTGCCCTTTTCCAGTTTTGGGGAAGCTGAACCCCCTTACCTAAACCCATAACTAACTTTCGAATGACGTTTAGTAAGCAGAATTTAGATCCCCATGCAAAGCTCTACATTAGGACCAAGCATGGTGTTTTGCTTTTGCAGTTCCTATCTCCCCTACGCATGGAAGTTATGTCCTTCCTTTCCATGCGGCCCTCTCTCCGTCTCTCCTTTTCTTGCACCTCTTTTTCCTTTTCTTCCGTTATCCCCCTCATATGGGGCTAATGCCTTGTCGCTGCGCAATGTTTCCCCATCCCCTCTCCCTCCCTTCTCCCTCCTCCCTCCCATCCTCCCACCCGCAAAGCCCATCCCTATCTTCATTCTCCTTTCTCCCGCTACCCTTCTCCCAACGCCCTGCAGGACTACATCTCGCTGGATATGCCAGCAACCATGCAGGAGGTTGGCTTCAGCCGGGTGCTCATGCGGGAGAGCACCCCGCGGCACAGGACGCTAGTGGCGCTGAAGAAGTGAGGTTCACCCACCCTCCAAAGTGAGGCGCTTTAGCAGTGGATAGGTTCCGAAGAAGTGGAGTGACGCTGAGAGTTGGAAATGGGGAGCTATTTTTAGCTAGGTGGGGCGATGCGAGGAGATAGAGGAGAAGGCAAGAGGAGGGGTACCATCATCCAGAATGTTATGATATAATGTTACATGGTGTGGACCTTATCAGGGCCTATCACAGACCATGTAAGGCCTAAGACGAAACGGAAACCATTAGACCTGCTACCGAGTCCACTGCTAGAAAGAGGAAACACAAAATAGGGAACGGAACGGGGGGTAGGTTTGCAGCAAAAAGACCCCACATCAATTTTGATAAGAGCATTCCAAATCCATTTCCGGACTTGTAATTGGACTTGACAGAAAACGTTATGGGCTTCCAAAGTTGGTCGTACGGCATCGGTGGTTAGATGGGCCCGGGGCCTCAACAACGTTTTCTTTGACCTTCAAAACGTTTGTTCCTAAGCCTCTTTCCTCCGAACACGAAGCGGAATTAGACTATGACACTACTCATACTGCGGTCTATGGCAGGGGCAGTCGAGGGGCAAGAGGCAAAGCAAGCAGGGGCAGAGTCCAAGGCGGAAGGGGCCCAAGAGAGTTAGCCAAACGAAGTGAGAACGCAAGTTAGGGCAAGGCGGAAATGGGAGGGCACGTGGCGGGCGTGCTGACGACACACCCGCTTCTTAGGGAGGAGGCACGAAACCCCCACGCCGGGGCAGGGGGTAGCGTGCGTGGTTCTGCATTAGGTGCTGAGGGCGGTGGGTTGCAAACCCAATCTGCTACCTGGGGCAGGGGGCAGAAAAGGGGCGTACAGTTTGCGGGGACTAGCTTATTTGTACCTGATGTTACCTAATGTGAGAATAAAGTATAAAAGGCTTTGTAGCCTTTGACTTGAATATACCAGACCGAAGCGATCTCATGGCCTGCCCAAGTGGACGTGTGGGGTGGTGGGTGATAGTTGTGTGGCTGGTTGCATGAGGGCCTATGTATGTGGATCTATGTATCTCAAGTGTTCACTAAGGCTTATCCAACGTTTGTGCGCTTAAATGAAGGCCGGAGCTATAGAACCTTTGTCAATGCCCCACAACTAGCAAATATTGGCAAACAACCAATAACCCACCAATGTCACCATCCTCCACACCGCTATTGTTGCTGACGTTTCCATTATCCTCTGATGAACATAGAAGACGCTGAGTTTTCGCCAACTGCCGAAGTCGGTAGTGCACTTGATTGTACGTGGCAGCACTTCCATTCAATTCCTTTACGACAGCGCCCGCTGTTACTTTTCTGTTGGTGGATTGTAGCGTGAGCACTGCTTCCTGAAACGCTGCTTCCTCGTTCGGAGTCCACTTTGAACGCTTCTTCGAAGGCTGAGTGGTAGCGTTGGGCCTAGGCCGGATATACTTTTGCCCGGCTTTGTTGTATTGCAAAAAGCAGAGAACACGTTTATACGTCAAGCCCTTCAAGCGCGTGTCGGAGCACACTTCATCATACAATAGCTTGGCAGTAAGTTTCAGTCCGCTAGAAGCAATAGTCTCGGCTGCTTTACACAGAGCCTCAACTTCATATGTTTTCATGCATTCCCTGGCCATTGTGTGTATTGAGTAATAAAGGCAATACCGAAGCCATTGGTGTCGGCCCTATTAAACTACGCTGCTGGCCTTACCGCGACAACAACCTAACGGATACCAACGTGTAGCAAGCTATCAACATGCGCTTAAGGGGTACAGCGCCCCTACCCCCTAAGGGAGTCTGAGGTCGTACAGGGCTCCCTGGCAGCGTGCTGCGCTTCCATTCTCTATCTTTTAACTCAAAACACGTTCTTGGTATCACCCTTTTACTCTGGGAATTCCAATATCCCTTTAAATGTAAGCGTCAGGGACTTTCTGTGCATTGCAGCGTCAACCTACAGAAAATGTAGCAAGCTTGATTTGTTGACCTACTTTAGTTCTAATTCGATAACGCTAGTTATGGCTTGTGCCACAGGCGCTAAAGTCTTGATGGTTGTGCGAAAAAGAAGGGCGATGGCAGCAGTGGATGCGACGGCTCTTCGGCAGCAGCAGCCACAGGACCTGAGTCGCCCAAGGTATGTTTCGTGCCACGTTGTCCTGAAGTTAATTGATAGTATTAAGCTGTTTGCGATGCGCTGTATACTTGCTGTCTCACAACTGTGCATCTGTGCACACTAGCAATATGTGCTGACCTCTTGTGCTTGCCACGTGTATCCATAGGCAACGATCCTCCCGTTCCCTTCCCCTTTCTTGCCGGTAATAGGACTAACGCGTCTGCAGGGATATAGATATTACGAACCCCAACACCACCGTCAGTCCCGTCCTGCCTATCACCAGAATCCCCTTGACGCCTCCGCTTGACACCAATCGCAGCGTTCCTTCTATACACGCATTTAGCATGGGCACATCGTTCGTTACTTACACCTTGCGTGCGTACCGCGTCAGCTGGAACAAGCTCCTCATGCATATTTACATCCGTAACACCCTGCTGCTGTGCTGTGTCTTGCGCCACATTATTAGCCCCTGCTGTGCCCGCTCCCTGACCACTTGGCCCCGCAGCTGCTGCATCAGAGCGGGCTTCACCTCCTGCAGCAGCAGCGCTGCGCTGGGTAACCCAAGCTGCCCACGCAGACATAGCATTAACAACTGCCTTTACATCGTCAGCTGATAGGTTGCTAGCCCCCAATAGTGCTGCGTGGATGGTCACGAGCGGCGTCGAAACGATACCAGCTAAAGCCAGCACCTCACTGCTATGGGGAGGCATCGGCGGTGGTGCAGCAGGAGACGCAGCTGGCATACGCAAAGCCGCCGGCCCTCTGTAGCGGTCTTTGGACTGGACAAGAGACCGCAAGGCTTCAGCCTCCCTCCGTCCAGCAGCAAGCGTGGCTGACATACGTTCCGTGGGTGGCCTCCGGCCTGCTGTGAATGCTCTGCGGATGGTAGCCTTGAGCGAATCAACTGATAGGCGAGAGGCAACCTCTCGAACCACCTCCTCCACAGGCCTGCTTTCAGCTGCTGTTTGGCTAGAGCCCTGTCTCTATTGGCTCCATACCCTCGCCTTGCAAGCTGTTGGACGTTGGGGTTGAGGTACCATGCCACTGCTTGTATACGTCTGCCGCAACAGAGCGCACGCAGGCGTTATGTGCCACAAACATATGGCAAGTGCTGCTGAACACTCCAGCACGGATGGAGACAACAGCGCGTACTGGGCACGGATTAAGTTTACGTTTCTGAGTTTCAGGCACCAACTGCATGGCTGCTGACAAAACATCCTCGCATGAAGTGAAGGACTTGAATATGAATGCCTCTGATGAGTAGGATGGGGCTGGGTCTGATGCAGGCACAGCGTATGCACCTGTTGGTAAGTCCTGCTCGGCTGCTGCCTGATGCCCTGGGTTTTGCCGTGGCCCTGGCTTCGTTGCACGTCTCCTGCCCCCTCTGCTTGAACGTTGCACACAAGGTGCTGGCGCCAGCTGAGAGCTGGGTGCTGCACCGCCCGCCGCTGTAGCAGATGGCGGTGTGCACTTGGAGGGGGCTCAAGGGTAGGGCTAGAGGCATGTGTGGGAGGGGGGCCCGGAATCGTGATTTCAGGTAAGCACATATTTGGGAAGTACTCTTTTAAGACAAGAACGAGGGTGTTTTTACCATGCCCAGGTTCGTTCGGGTTGTGATGCTACACGCGACGGAAAAAGCGGGTATGCACTTGGAGGGGGCTCAAGGGTAGGGCTAGAGGCATGTGTGGGAGGGGGGCCCGGAATCGTGATTTCAGGTAAGCACATATTTGGGAAGTACTCTTTAAGACAAGAACGAGGGTGTTTTTACCATGCCCAGATTCATAACCGCCGCTGCCATCTGACCCGAGAGCAGCGCGAAGGAGTGCTTCGGCTTCATTGTCGGAGTGTTCAGCTACTAGGAGACCTACACTAAAACCTGAATCACTCATGTTTAGTTACATGTTATTGCATAAGGTTAAGGACAACTGTTTATGTTAAGCCTTGTGCTGGGTCGATTGCGAGGTGAATACCAAATGGGCTGCACTTAGATAGAAATATGTGGCATATTTCATTGCATTCTTTCTAAGATGTTTCATAGCACGCTTCTGAGCACAGCGAGCACAGCACGCTGCCAGGAGGGCCTGTACGACCTCAGACTCCCTTAGGGGGTACGAGCACTCTTGCCGCTTAAGGCCTCTTCTTTTGTAACTTGTTTTGTACTTTGTACGACACAGGCCAACATCACTGCTCACCCATATACACATCATTATTTTAACATCACAATACATCAAACACCTGTGCCATGATTATGTGACGAACGCTGCAGCTAGAAACTCCTCTCTACTCATAACAATCGTTCTTGACTTGGAGCCACATCGCAGGTTGCCTTTGTGACTTGCATATACACATTCAAATTCCAAACCTTTTGCAAGAAAAAGATGCCAAAAAGCTCACGCGAAAATCTCTACAATTTGCCGGGGTGTTCACTAAGGCTGTTCCCTTGCTTCCAAGCCGCGGCCTGGCGGAGCGTCTAGAATCAAGGGCAGGCCAAAAAATGAACTGAATTTCAATTTGGAATGTGCCTTCCTGGACTGAGTGACTTATATTTGACTCATTCATTTGGAATGCACAACACTCACACCACGGTCTGGTTGGTACTGTATCATACACAGTTAGCTAAACTCGCTTTTAGCTTGCGCTATGCTTTCTATCAACAATATGAGAGATGGGCAAACGACGCTGATCCAATGACTAACCGCATACACTGCAAAGAGCTGTAGAGGACATCCGAACCCAAGGTTCTTGTTATTCGCTTGAGCAGTGGCAGTCTATTCCTTGTGTTACATGCAAGCAACTGAAGACACTTGTGTTCAACCGGGGGGGAGTTGGTAACTGCAAAAAGAGACCCCAAAACCAAATTAAGGGGGGCATTCCGAATCCGCAATAAAAATTTTGTTTGGAGTTGTAATGAAGAAAGTACGGGCTTTCAAAGTTGATTGTACGGCAGGGGTTGGGTCCGGAGCAACAAAAGGTATACTTTTCAGCTTCTCATGGGTCCGATGACGCTTCAGGTCTGAACTACAGTAGCCCAAACGGAACCGCCCGCCGATTCCCAATTTGCCCTAACGAATAAGAACGGGGATATGACGGTGGTGGTTTTCTGCCCGTCTCCCAAGGGGGTTCTGGGTATTTGTTAGCATTTAATAAAGCTTAAGCAGAGGAGTCTAACGGCTTTTTCCCGGGTGTCTTGGCGAAGTTTACACATTGTACGACATGTTTGCCGTACGACAGGGTGGGTAGCTGTGGCATACCCCACACCTAAATTGCCGTACGTCCTCGTACGGTCCTGGAATTGCGCATGGGCGACGCATGAGCCCATGGCTAAGTACTCCCGCACATACCTGTTTCTACTTATCTACCCTTCTGCTGTAATCCGCCTGAAATCCGCTTTGAACCCAACCTTATATAAACTCCAGCGTCTTCAACACCTTGAATCTTGAAACCTCGAAATCCTGAACAGCTCCAGCACTCCGCCGTCCACAGGCCCGGGAGGTGAATCCCTTTACTCCGTCTGGCGGCGGTGGTTGCGCAGGACGTAGTCCACAGCCCACGGGAAGCGGCGTCGGATCTCTGCCTGGGAATCCGGGTGTTGCATCACGAGCATCGTGATGTGTGCGTCATCTGAGCATAGGCCTCGGAGTGGTAGCCGCTGTTAGTGAATCAGTAGCCATAGGAGGGAAGCCACCGGCCAGCGCTGCGCCAGGCGGCTGGATTGCCCAGCATGTCCATGTATGTGTCAATCTTGTAGGCCGGCATAACGGCCGTCCACATTTATTAGCATGCGCCGGTTGGCCTACAAGATTGACACATACATGGACATGCTGGGCAATCCAGCCGCCTGGAGCAGCGCTGGCCGGTGGCTTCCCTCCTTCAATGGCTACTGATTCACTAACAGCGGCTACCACTCCGAGGCCTATGCTCAGATGACGCACACATCACGATGCTCGTGATGCAACACCCGGATTCCCAGGCAGAGATCCGACGCCACTTCCCGTGGGCTGTGGACTACGTCCTGCGCCACCACCGCCGCCAGACGGAGTAAAGGGATTTACCTCCCGGGCTTGCGGACGGCGGAGTGCTGGAGCTGTTCAGGATTTCGAGGTTTCAAGATTCAAGGTGTTGAAGACGCTGGAGTTTATATAAGGTTGGGTTCAAAGCGGATTTCAGGCGGATTAGGGTAGGAAATGGTTATAAGTACATAAGTAGAAGAGCGGGCTCCCATCGGGAGCCCATCTGGCGGCATGGGCTCACAGGTATGGGTGGGCTCCCGTAGATGTAAGGATGGTCGCGCCAATTTTTAAAACTCGTCGATTTGCGACATGTCACTGTTAACCTGCTGCTACGAACTTTTTAAGGTACCAGTCAACATCATACAGGAGCGGTGATCAGTATGCCTGCGGCGGTCCTTTTCATTGGCTGGTCACGAAACCATTTGTTGCCAAACGAAGTTTCCCGGACTCACGAATAATTTAAAATAAAGATCAGGGGGGGGGTAGTTTCGCCGCAAAATGACCCCATGCTTCAATATTAAAGAACTCAACGAGAGCATTCCAATTCCGCTTTCAGAATTGCAATCGGAGTTGTACGGAAAAAGTTATAGGCTCCCAAAGTTGGTCGTACGGCAGGGGTGGGTAGGTGGGTCCGGAGTCCCAATGACTTTTTTCTTTGACCTCCAAAACTTTTTTCCTAGGTATCGTTTCGCCAAACGGATAGCAGATTTAGTACTCCTGTTATAGTATATGCATATTATGTTCATATTAGAGCCTTTGTGTGGAGTTTGCGGGTGGCATGTCCACATGGAAGACCCTAGCTGGCCCAACATGCACGGTATGGCTTCTCCAGAGGCAAAGCAAGCAGCAGGGACAGGGGCTAAGGTAGAAGGGGCCCAAAGAGGAACCAAACGAATAAAATCACAAAGTTAGGGCAAGGTTGAAGGGGGAGGGCACGCAACAGGCGTACTGACGACACATCCATGGCAGGGGGGAAAATGCGTGGTTCTGCATCTGGTGTTGAGGGCGGTGGGGTGCAAGCCCAACCTGCTACCCGGGGGAGGGGGCGCAGTCGTACCGATGGCGGGGTGATGTGAGGGACGCAGTGGCAGGTGGGCTGGAGCACACTTACCAACGCAACCGTGCACTCAAGCATTATTACAGCAATGCATGTGAGGTTTAAAAGAGATGTGTATCGGCTGCATACCAGAGAGTATTTAGTATGGCAGCCTGCCTGCCCCCCTCCCGTGTGGCGAGGGACTCAGAAATGTTGCCAAATGGTACGCCTAACGTGAGAATGACGAAGATCTTGTGAAATGGAGTCGAATGGTGCTTTTTTGGGGCGATTTTGCAAAGTTTACAGCGTTGTCGTACAGCAAAAACGGTACGACAGGGTGGGTGGGTGGGTCCGGCACCCCTTTCTTGACTTTTTTAGCATGGGGTTTGGCAAAGACTTTTTTACCCCCCCCTGTAAAGATGAAGTTTCTTTTTGTTGCATGTTGTAGCGGGGTCTAGTCGGTATGTTCCACCGTTGACAGGGGCATCTGTCGTGCCCCAACGCTGGTTTGGCCATCTAGTGCCACTGGGTCCACCACCTCTAATAAGCCGCATCACGGCATGGGCTCCGCCCCCAAACGCCTATCCATGCATGCAAAGAAAGGCACGCTGGCTAAAAGCAAGCACCCTCAATCACGAGAACTGGAAGCTGTTTGCAACGTCGCGTGCCAGGAAAACTGCATAGCAATGCTATGCCTAGGTCTGCTTGGGCATGACATTTGCACAATCTGCTTGACAGAAAGGTAACGCCTGCTGGGCGTACTCACCGGGGGCATACATGATCCACTAAGCACCGCTTACGTTACTGTCGGCGTTGAGGAAATTGCGTAATGATTAGAGCATTGTCGATGTTCCCGAGGCTGAGGACATTCTGCCGTGTCCCGCGGTACAGGTGTGTCGCTCCATCCAATAATGACACCGCTATATAAATACCCATGGCTCACACATTTTTCATCAACCCTTTCTACAGCAGCATTATCTGTCAACATTGGCCTATTGTTGTGCTCTTTCTGTCGCTACCCTACCTAACCCCTACATCACGCCTGCTGATAAGCTACATCAAGCAATGGTGGCGAGCTGTCGTTCCTGCAGCTGCCACCGCAGCCCCCTGCTGGCCATGTCACCCTTGATGCTGCTGGCCCCTCTTGTGCTGGTGCTGCTGACGCCCGTAGCCCGGGCATGCGTCCCC